AATTTTAAATAAGATTTTAAATTTCTGATATGAATAATAGAATTTAGATCACTTTCCAGTTTTTACTAAAGACGTATGTTACTGCATAAATTAGTTATAAGTCAAAAAGGAATCGTAACATTATTGAAAATGATCAGAAGACTTTGTATTGCAAATTAAAAAATGATAAATTTGTGTATAAAGTGTTTGAAGATGCCAAGTTCACTGAAATATTTACGGTAAAAGGCGAAATTGTAGGTTTTTTATTCAAGAACCCGTAAGTTTCTTGTCATTTCAGTCGACATCAATTTTGAAAGGCTATGAAATTACGAATTCACTTTTAAACTAATCAAGATTAGCAGTAGCGTGCACTCTGGAACACAAGAAGAAATGCCTCGAAGCTCTGAACCATAAAACATAAATATAGCTACGCAAGATTTCATGAAGCTCGTTTAGGATATTTCAAGGACATGAATTTGGAGAGAAGCAAACGACTTTCGATATAAGTATCGAAAGTCGGTTTTTCACCCCCTTCTTCATCGCTGATATCGAATTGAATATTTCAGCCGAAACTATCAATATATAGCTACGATTTTGGATAATACCCGTGCGCATAAATATGAACAGCGAATTCGAAGTCTTAGATATTAGCTACAGGAATATGCGAAGAAATTCAGTCGATATTATAAATATTTGAACTTTATTAAAAAAACTGCACATGTTAGATTAACATGGATTTGTTTTAAGTCATTACTCGAGATAAATACCTAATCGCAATCTATACGAATAAGGAAAAAGCAAGCAGCATCTGGCAACAAGGCAGTTTCGAAATCAACACCTTTGCAGTATATGTGATCTCTCTCGTGAATCTACTATATACGAATGAAAGCGCGACGCAAGTCAGAAAAAAGAAGATCGAAAGAAATCCCAGACGTGTGCTACTCCGTAGAAATTGCTGATGCCTGGAAATAGCCCACAGTTCTCTCGTAAAACGTAATTTTATCGGTATCTAGTTATTGCCTATCGTTCGCGAGATCCTTTCTTTGCTCTTCATTCGGTACATGTTTAAAAAGCAAGTGAGTTATGATTTGTTTCATACAACGTATCTCAACGCTCGAGTAGCTCGGGCAGCTTGAAATTTCAAATCAACAATTATTATCGCTCTTCCATTATTTGATGATACATCAAGAACGACGACAAAAGCTTGTCTCGGCGATTCTTGCTCCCTCATTTTTCTTTTGTACTGAAATTTGTTCATGTGGAAGTGTAAATGCTTCTTGGAGGTATCTCATTTTCCATTTTGTCGAGACTAAACAAATAAAAAAGTATGTGAAGCGTGTTAAACGGACTGTAAATCGATTCTTTATAACCATCCTACGACCTCACTTACGAGTACCTACTAGTTTGAGAAAAGGTAACTTTAACTTGACTAGTTTTTCAGTGATTGACATGCCGTGAAATAGTTTAGTGTATATAACCGAGTGCCAAAATATTCTTGTCATAGACGAACGAACAAAGTAATACTTTTATTGAAAATTCACAACTGAATAAACCATGCCATGAAAATAGAAAAAGGACTTTTAAAAGATGAAAAATGTATTGAAACTGATAGAAAATCAACAAAAAACAATTATGAAACGTAATGGGACCATGATAAAATCAGTGCACAGCTGCGCTTCATTCAATTAACGACGCTTCGTCATTTTAGCCCAAAATGAGCACATACACGAGTTTGTATTTTTTTATTACAGTTGCTGCCGCCACGCGTAAACAGGCAAAATCTCTGCATAACATTTTCGATTCGATAGCATGGTAGCGCGAAATACGCGTTATTTGTTTTGCTTTCATTTGCCGTTCGCTGTATGCTGTTGCTAAAGACCCGACTGTGTTCGAAAGAATAAATGAATGGAAAGAAAGGGAGAAAAACAACGAACACTTGCATTGTTTGTTTTGCTTTTGGATTTGATCAAGCTGCCTTTATTGGGTGGAATTTAATTGCGTGTGCGAGCTGTTGTTTCGTGGCTTTGTAGTTATATATATAAATAGTAGAATATATACGAAATACGTGACATTTCAAAAGTTAGAACAAATGTACATTCATATTTATGATCGATATAATACCTTTTTGCATCGATTCGAAGCTTTTCTTATAATAATGAATAGTATTTTTATTTGCATTATTATCAACTCAAAAAAATTAATATTAAAAACGAAACAACGTATGAATGTGGACATTATCTACGAAACAACTTTGATATTGTCATATAAACTCCAAAGGGAATTTAATAAAAGAGACTCGTAAATTCTTTGGAAAAGGAAAGGACCTTCTCCCGTTTGCCTTGGCTAAGCTTTAAAAACTTTATTTAAAAACGTTCTAATGCTATTAATTCTTACCGTTGTAATAACAGTTAGCAAAACGTGACCTATCACTTTGTTTGGATAAATATAAAAATAATCTTTGCTTTGACATAATAAAAAAATTTTAATGTTCAAAATATTTTTTTCTAAAATTCATACTCCAGCAATATATTAAAATCGCGTGAATCTATCTAGGAAAACTATCGAATTTTCTTATAATCATTCTCCTTTCGTTCTTTCATTATCTTGAATGTAAATTACATCAGCAGTCTTTCCGGAAGGTTTTCTCAAACAAGTGAATTTTTCCTCTTATAATTAGAATGAAAGAGAGAGAGAGAGAGAGAGAGAGAGAGAGAGAGCGAGAGAGAGAGAGAATGAGAGACTGTCAAATCGAGAGGGGAAGGGTACAAGTTAATTAAACGTTCCTCTCTTTTTCGTTCACCGTGTGGCTTGACGCTGTGTCGTTAAACTGCTTGTAAAGCACTTCGCTTTTCGACACAGAGCCAGTGACGAAACTTTTCAAGATAACCTGCTCACGTCCCAATTATTCGAGTGCTAACGAACAGAAAAGTCTTCAAAAAGTTTGGATCCTCTCGATGCACCCCTTTTTATTTGTTCTCCCCTCCTTTTTTAAAATAAGAATAGTAGGCTGTGTAATCTCGAGCTTGCGCCTTGTGTAGCCAAACTGATTAAGGTTTGTTTGCAAAGAATAATAATTTGCGTATAAATCAGCAACAAAAAGTAAGACATTTATGGAGCGTGTCAAACAAAAGTGAAGGCTTATTTAATTCGGAAATATATCGGAGGATGCGAAACGAAAGCCGTCGAGTTTAACATGCATATACCTATGCAGCAGTGGAAAAAAGGTTCGAAGCAATTTCCAAATCGGATCGCGTCAGCGCACATAGCTACCAAGAAAAGATACAAGAGATACGACAGTGCTTGTCGACGTCAAGACCTGTTTACGACAGAAACGTTTCGTTCCTTCGCGTTCGAAAAAACATGTCGCGAGGAAAACAAGCGCTAACTAAACCCACGATTTACAATCGCCTGAACCGATAGAATATACGATGCAGCGTCGCCTCTCCAGTTATCAACACGTGGTGCACGGTAGCAGCAGCATCGTATAAAAATTCTTTTCTCTTGAGCGTCAAGCGCGGGGTGCACCCGTCATCTCCGAACCGCACCGATTGTTAACGTGAGTGATTGGGTGTGTACGCCGTGACAGTGCCGTGCAAGCGACCTGGACTGAGCCCTGTGCGGCTATAGGGGATGTAGTGCATTTAGATGTTGATATTTACAATGGCTCGATCAAGGTGCCGAGGTCGACTTCTGTGCGCTCTTTCACGCCCGCAACGGCAACAGCGTGCCAGCAAGTAAGAGAACTGCTTGCGTGCGATCGTTTTACGTATATCTGACCATTCTTGTGGTCACTACAGCGAATATATTGTCAATGTCGATATAATTAATCACTGTACATAGGCTCAGAGCGCTAGAATTGAGCGATACAATAATAAATAACCAAAAAAATACAGTTAATAAATACATCTTCATCCCTGTTTTATCGCGAACTCTTATTGAGATTTACTTGATTTCCAAGTGAGAACAAAAACGAGCGGGACGAATAGATACACCTGAGCACTAATTGTACATCAACGTAGTAACGCCGATATACGAAAGCCGATTACAGTGTAAAGTCGTCACGTCCCTTACACAGAGGACTCTTATATTGCAGTGTCCTTTGTGAATGGCCAATGAGAATTCATTCATCGACTCTCTGTGTGTGTCGACTTACCGGAATTGCCCGACTCTTTGAGAAGCTCACTGATGCATAATTCTAATTCCGGCACAGCGAAGCTGCCTTCGCTCTCTGCATAGTCAAATTTTATGCGTGCATTTCCTTAAGGGACTAAATTTAGAAAAATGGTAATTTCAGAAAAAAAAGTTTCAAGTACAGATGCCAAAAGTAGAAAGAAAAAACAAGGCCAAAGTGGTTATGGATGATTAATCTTAGCTTGTTACTACTATTGATTGTTTCACTCGATTAGTTCTCTAAATGATTTTTCAAGATTGCCGATGAAAAAAAAAAGAGCCATTTTGTAAATTTTTACAACCGGCCGTATGTGCATGCCAAGCTTGTCATTCACGAAAAAAAGAAGAAACTTTTTTGTTATCTCGACCGACTGGGTATTAAAAAAAGATGAGAACGCCGATAAAAGTATCGTTAAAAAGGAAATGAAGTGTAAAACTGTCGAGAGGGAGGCTGTGCTTGCTGAGATAAAGCCTTCTGCCAAAGTAGTTTTTCAATTAGCCCACAGCTGCATTGTTCTTTCACGTTTCTTCTTTGATTCAGCTAACGAGTATCTAGCAAGTTTCCTTTCAAACCGCTACTCACCACCGCGGGATTTGTTTGATCGCCAAATTGCCTTTTCTTCTTTTCTAAGGTCAAGCCACTTGCGAAAAGATCCGACAGTAGCACGAAAATTAAACTTTCTGCAGCCTTTGGTTTCTTTTTTCCTTCTTTCTCAATGCAATATAGAGTGATCTCTGAAGATTGCTAATCGCCATTCCTATTCATTACTTTTCTTTGCGGATCGAACGGGAAGTGAAAAACAGTGGTTATATTGGAAAATATGTGTTTTTTATAAAGTTTATTGGTTTGATACTTTTTTGCATTATAAAAAATTACGTATACGTCATGTTTCTAAAAGTTTGATCGTTGTCACGTACATATAAAAAAAAAGAGAGAGAGAGATAGAGTAGAAATCACAAACTTACGTCAACGTCATTAACGAATCACAGACATAAATACATCGCTTATGAAATGCTAAAATAAAACGCGTCTAAATGCATACGTTGCTTACAAATATCTATGTATAATTAAAAAATACTTATATGTGACGGAATCGCTGCAATAAAAAGTGCGTTCTAATAATAAGTTAGTTTAAAAAAAAAACATTTGTTCTTTGGCTCGTAATTCGAATGTGGCTTTTGCACTATTAAGACCAGTTAGGTGATGTTGGTTTACTGATTGCTGGCACTTGACTTGTTGGCGACTGACCACTATTGATAAAAAATAAAATAATTTTCTTAATCACTGCACAAAATATAATAAAAAAGTACTGCAACATTCTGCATATCTACCTCCAAGCAATTAATGGTGCCAATCGTTCAGTAAATCGTTGATAATTTCGCTCCAATTCTCTCTGGTAATCTCGTTGATCAGAACCAATCAAATTTTTGTTCTTACGAAGCGCATCTAGGCATTTTTTGGAAAAATCTTTGAAGCAAAGGCGTAGCTTATGCTGTAGTTTGTTAGGCTGAATATTTTGTTCTCTCAGTCCAGCTAAGAATACATTTGCAACTTCTGTCGGACCTTGATTCACAGTAGTACCTATACAACCTTGTAGCACCATTTGTAGCATTTTTGCGTCGGGTGGCTCTTGATTTGTCGCCGCTGCTAATTCAGCAGTTTTCTTTTGTATATCTTCAATAGCTACCTCGATAGGACTCAATAAAATTTGTTTCCTATTGACCACTCGAATTCTTGTTTTCAAGTAAGGAAAATGCGTTGCCACGGTCAATATAGTTTTTCGCTTGCATTGCTCGCGTAATTCTCCATGAGCTTTACCTCCAGGCGTGAACGGCGTTGCGTATAAAAACCGTCCTATGAAAAATAAAAAAAAAAGGAAAACGAAAAATATCAATATACTTATCAGACAACGTTTAAAATAAAAAATAACATTTTAACTCACGAATGTTGAAGTTTCTGTGAAATACTGTCGGTCGATGTCTTAATTCATGAGCCTCAAAATAAGGTTCTACATAAGTTATCTGGACGTATGCTTTGTCTGCTTCCAGTTTGCCTGCATCGACTGGATTAGAATCTTTAATAATAACTATACTATCGCTGCCAAATCTTTCAGCATAGAAATTTTCAAGTCTTGAAAAAATTTCTGGCAATTTCGTCAGAGTAGGCTCCTTATAAATAAATTCCTCACCATTCAAATCGCCAAATCTTACACCATAGAACCCTACTCTAAAGTAAGTACCAAATACGCGTTTTCCAGAGAGCTGCTCAATTCTAGTATAAGCTTCATGTAATTTTCTGAAAGTAAAAAATAATTTGAAATTACATGATTTACGTCAAGAATACTTGTATTATTTATAAAGTTTTACTTGCCCATGAATATTAGCCAGCTTCTTGTAATCATGGGCTGTTTCAGCAATTGGTAGTAGAACTCTGTATACCTCGGGTATAGCTTCATACATACCTGCAGCAAGAAATGAACTTGCCGCATGTTCAAGCAAACCAGCTAATCCGCTCTCTGAAAAATCGGGACCCAAACAAAGACCCTCTTCTCTTCTCGCTAGAACATCATCGCCGACAGCACTCTCTTCTAAAGCATTCGGCGTTACTGGACTCAAAGCTACAGCACCGATCGGCCGGCCACCACCGCCAGGTTCTAGCAAGTATAAGTACTCAGCAACAAGAGCTGCACTGTGTATCAAACACATTGCTGCTTCCGTGTGATTTTTGCGCTCCATGTGTTGTTGAGCCATGTTTGCTAACCACGTTAACCTGAGATCTGGCGAGCCTTGATAACCTTTCGCAATTCTGTAAATAAAATTAAATATTAACATTGAGATGCCGATACAAAATAAAATGTAGTATGAAAAAATCAAGTATTTTTACCTGTACATCAAATCCAACAACATTTCAGGGTCTTCCTGAAATTCTTTCATTTTCACTGTGTCCGAGAGTATCATGTGCAAATTAAATAACAAATCTTTAACTTGTTCTGGAAAACTAGTATCAGCCATCTCTGTATCCTTTTCAGCGTACACTAAAACAGTCTTGAGAGCTCGACGAAGTGCACCCTCGTTTGGTGCTCTTCCTCGACCAACTAACGCTGACAGCGAAGTGGTTACTTGCATTTTTACCCTCGCAAAATTCTACAAATAAAATAATCATTCATATAATTCCTCATTAAACTCAATCAGTTTTTCCGTGTAAAGCTCACTCACATTGCCGATTTCAAAGTTCTGTCGCATTAATAAATAAAGACTAGCAGCAGCATGACTCCGAACAGCACTAAGTGGCGAGCTACACCTGGTTAATAAAGTCAAGCACAAATCACCGCATCTTTCGCTTTCTTCCTCATCAAATAACGCACTGTGATACTTCAAGACTAGAGCTCTTTGTGTATTGAACATGTGCTGTAGAACTAGAGTACTTTGGTTTCTTGCTAATGCTCTTAATAATACTTTCAATACTCCACCTACTACGATGCCTAAAGAAAAAATATGAAAATATGTAACCAACCAAAAATTTAGATCGTTCGATCAATTTTAACAAAGTGCAAACCTCCTCCACCCTCAGCTTGAACAGTAGTCTCCAATGTGTCCAAAACAATAAGTGAAGCTTCCGCTGCTAAAGCACCTTCAATATGAGCATCTTGCTCAACAGCTCTACCCTCAGGCTGCTCGCTAAGCCTTCAACCACACAAAAATAGCTCCGTAAGCATTATTTCACTCACACAAACTTAACACCAAACAACGTACCTATAAGCCATTTGATCCTTCCGCCATCGAAGTTTATCTCCGCTTGCTCTCTCCTTTCTCCGCAACATCATCTCACTTCTGGCACTACCTTGACCTAAGATAACGTCCTCCAGTCTGGACCTGATATCACCAGTGGCCGTCACCTGCGATGGCAGCCTCTTCAATGCCTTTTTGCCCTTATACTCGAACGCAGCTGTACTTATATTTAAGACCTGCAGGATGCTTAGGACTCTCCTCGAGCTGAGTTCTGATATCCACTGTGCTAATGCTGATTTTTCTAGCGACTTCATGACCCACAAAGCGCACATAAGTAAGTGTCTGGTTGCCTCAGAGCTCAGAGAAACTCGGCAGTGTGAGCCAGCCGCTTCGACAGATGCACCACCAGCTATCGCCAACGCAACCGTGTGAGTAATAGAGCCAGTCTCATCGGTGTACACACTTTTATCCTTAGAATCCCAATGATACAACTGCGGCAACGCATCCATGAGTATATTCAACAACGGCAGGTACAATGCAGCAACCCGAGCTTTTGCCGTGGGATCAGCGTAGCGAGGATCAGCGTCGTGCAAGGACATGAGGTAACGAATCGTACCGATGGCCTTGTTCTGTAGCATTGGATTTGGTATCTCTAATGTGTTTGATAAATCGAGAAGTACCAGACCCACAAGGAAATGTTGCTGACGAAACTCTTGACTGAGCTCGGAAAACCTTGCACGTTCGCCAGGTACAAGAGTTGAGATGAGACTGCCTGAGCTACCGGTTGATGGACTTGGTGATACTGGTGCTGAACCTGAGGTGTAGCCTGTGCCAAATGGTAGATTCAATGCGACGTAGTGCTCATTTGAACAAACTGTGCGAATCAAGTCGAGTTTCAAAGCGAACAGTGCTGCTGAGTCGGGGACCTGTGTTGTTTTTATAAGAGGGATCGTATGAGTATGAGCTACAACAGATTTGTGGTTTGGTGAAATCTTACAAGCTACGGTGAGGGCTTGACTTTCTAATCAAAAATTTAGGGAATCAGTACTGTTCGAGAAGACGATTCTTTACAGTGCTGTTTCGAGCTTGAACAATTGAATTGCATCAGTAAATTACGTGCATTTTAAAGAAGTTATGAAATAAATAATCACCTACCTGCATCGACGCATCAGAAAGTGAACAGCAACTAGTTCTAAGCTGCGATAAAACGAAACCTCTATCCATAATCGCCAATAAATCTGACATAAAATTACCGAGACTTGACGTTAGATTCGAAGCGATTTGTCGATCCTTGCCGCTACGATTAATAATTTCATTGGTAAGAGCAGTTATTAGAGTTGATAAATCATCGCAGAATTGAGGTGAAAAGCGTGATTTGCGTGGCGAATCAAGCAGATTAAACTCGGCCAAAGTGATGACCATCGAACGAACGATTAGTTCCAAATAGAACCAGGAATGGCACATTGCTAATTCACGAGCTTGACCTGTTGAAACTACCCAGTGTAAAGCTAATTCTTCATGAAGTAATCTGCGGGTTGATGGAATGCTAAAAATATATTTATAATTTAAACGCGCAAGCAAAAAAAAAAAGAAAACAAATAAATAGAATGCCTGCTCATCTTACTATTGATTATTAACATGAACTGACTCCGTTCTCATCGAAGCAGTACGATCGAGGCCTCTGGTGACGATTTCCATCTCCAAGTCCTCAATTGGAAGATCAGGATTACTTTGAGTTCTCATCATACCCGGACACTGATTCATTCTCGGCAAAGAACACTGATAAGCTGAATAAGTAGTGAGCAATGGGTGTCTCCCGTGAGCATCAACTTGTCCATCCTGCAGATAAGTTATATTTCTCACAAGTAAACCAATTGCTTCGAACACCGTAGCTGCAATATTCAAAGGTTGCGAGGGAAGAGTCGGTGGTCGAATTAGCAGCGAAATTAATTGATCGAATATCTGCGGCAGCGAGCGTATCAACGCAGCCTGTGAGGTACGTGCGAGTTCGAGCAAAGCAGATTTCATCTCGGACTCCATTCCAGCTTCGCCAATACGGGGTGGTACTTGGCTTAATTCCAGTGCACTGCATAGAGTTAAGAACCGGTCAATATACTTGTCCTGAGGATGTACACTTGACATGGGCTCAAGAATCACTGTAAACACTCCTTTGTGTGCATCGACCCATCGTGTGCCTGGGAGTAACACGTCCGGAGCAATATAGGAGTAGTTTGCTGGTGGAGGATCTAACATCGCTGGTAAACAGAATTCGCCTGATTGTAGATGCCCATCTCTTAGTAATGGAAGCCACTATAATAACGTTTATCATTACGTCTTCTAATTTTTAGATTCTGTGTATAAATAATTTAATTAAAAGTGAAACATACCGTGTAAGCTACTGGTGTTTCAACATTCGGTTGCTCAACCTTCTTTTGACAACTAATATGATAGAAAGTAAAGAGTAAGTGGTGCCTGGCACTCAAATCTGCTGGTAATCTGACTTTAACCTCGTCGTAAAAGTTTGGATTTTTGTTGTGATATGATACTGACGTAAAGTACTCGTGCGTCATCTCTGGACACGAAGATCTACCAAAAATTGCAGTTAATGCTTCATCTTCTTGTTCACCACCCATCAACTGAATGCGCACTGCAATGTTACGTGCTGAACCGGTTCTAGAGTTAAAATTCACTTCCTAAGATAAATAATAAATAGAAAAATCATTATTCATTGTGTAAGCAATATCATTTTTTTAAAGGTTAAAATAAATAATACGTGATGTCATTACTTTTGGATAAATGTATAGGTGATTGCGATAAGTTAAATCAGGAGAAATGATATCACTAGGAAATTCTAAAAGCTCTTTGACAGGTCGACCTAACTCATCGGGATACGGTGTCAATCTTCGCAAGTCAGGGTCTAAACATCGTAGTAATTCTTCGGGGCGTGGGCTTAAATCTAATTTCAAAATTCCAGGTATGCATTTTAGTCTTTTGAGATTCGACCCCGGTCGTCTTAATTCCACTAAAAGTTTATACAAATCTTCATCGCGAAGCCTTTCACTTTCTTGTTTGAAAAAGCTCGACACAGTCAGCGTTATCGGTCTAAAAAAATGTACGATATTTGTAGAAACAATTATTAAAATACATTTTGATGTTTATATTTGATAAATTACCTAAAGCTATCCAAGCAATTGGCAAAGTCATCCGGTGACCAACTTCGTCTTTTATCAGAGGTACGTCGTTCTAAAGATCCTCTTCGACTTGGAGGATCAACTTTTTTTCGCCATTGTTCCAAACCAGACGATTTTCTATCCAAGGAACCAGCATTTCCACCACTATCAGTATCTCCATTTCCTCCAATAACTCCTGATAGATGAATTGCAGTCCACGCGAGAGGCATACGATAACGGCCGAGTCGTTCGCAAGCTGCAGTGGCTGCTGCTCTTACCTGAAAAAGTTGTTAGTAAAGTACTGACAGGCAATGCTACATAAAATTTTAATTTAGATTTAACGTTTTACATACTTTATCTTTATTTTTGTCATCTCTCAAATATGGCTCTGCACACTCGGAAATATCCCCTTGCAATACTTTTTCTAATCGAACAACAAGGAACAGATCGGGACTTGGCTTGCTTATGCTTACAACGCAACTTCTTGACAGAGTGCTTGGATCACTATAAGCTATATGCCCGACAAGCATTCTTTTTAATGCCTCTGAATTCATATCCACATAGAAATTTTCCGAAACCTAAATGAATAATTATATTTAATATTGCTCTGCTTAGGATACTATGCAGATCTTTATAAAACCAACCTTCTTTTTTTCTTTTGCATCATATAGAGCCATACAAGCAAATATAGGTTCCACTTCCAACTCTAATTTCAATTGTAAACATTTTATATGAATTTTATGAGAAAATGGCTCTGATGGTTCTGATGCTAACATAATCTCTTGCCACTCATCGTCAGAGGGTGTCGGCAAGGAATACAACGGAAATAATGCTTCCTTAAAGATTTAAATATATTGTAATATTGCAGCGTTTAATACTTTCGTTTAATTAATTAAAAACAATAACTTACTTGTCGATCCTCTGAACGTTTCTGTTCATTTACTTGATCTATGGTTTCAGGGCAAACTCTATCTAAAAGATTAGGAAGCAAAGGATCATGTTGGGAATGTCGAAGATCTAAACTTGCCCAAGAACCTCGAGGAGTTTCTTGCTGGGAATTGGACTGAGATAAATCTGTTTCATCTTCATTTGGAGAATGACAACCATTTACTTGTTCTTGATCCACCTATGGAGATGTTTATAAATTATAAGCCATTGTACATGTGTGTTTAGTAAAACAAACCTCAAAATCCTGCCTAGGAGTTTCTTGTACCAATTGATCTCGGGCCATAGGTAAGGCTCTACTTCTGTGTTTTCTATGAATCATCACCCAATCAGATGTAAAACTTTCAATACATCTCTTAACATATGGTGAAACTAAATCACTAAAACAATAATATCCATGATTATTTATAAATTAATAAATTATAATTATAAAAATAATTGTATATGTAAAGCTGTATTAACAGTGACTCTGCTGGAACTACAGGCTCTTCTGTACGGATCTTTCTTTTTATAACACGTAACTCAACATCATTCGGAGGATAATCTAATATTGCTTTCAAGGGATCTCTGTCTAAAACTGCTTGATGTTGTGCTAAAAATTCCTCATAGTCCAGAGGTTCCACAACTTCACAAAGTGACATCTAAATTAATAGAAAGGATTGATTGAGTCAAAGAGAAATCAGTTAAAACTAGTTACATTCTATACTTACAATAGTATTTTTACACTTACCGTTGATGAGAAAGCAGAAAAATTGCTACCACTTTTTGACAGCTCCCTTGAATATGATGCTGATGTAGCTATTTGGCGACGAACATCGGCTGCATGTTGCTTGCTCAATTTATGAGCAAAAGCACGCTGTACCGAAGACATTTTTGTTGCTTCGGTCACAGCTTACATAAATTATTATACATGGACCTAAAATATCAATAAGTTACTTATTAAAATAAATACACAAGTTTAGGTATTATAACCTTTAAAAAATCACTTTTCTAAAATGAAAGTAATGATATATATTTCGTAATTTATACACTTTTTACGAGAAATATCATTGTTGTAAACTTTTATCCGAGAGCTTAAAAAAATACAACTCGAAATTGAAATTCTCCAATCCACGAAATTATAAATTCAATTTTAACGAAAAGAGAAATTGTATAACACTTTTCATTTTCAGTTACTAGTACTAGTATCACGTATTAGTAGTTTAATATTTTTATTTATCACTTACTAAACTTAACAAGAAACGAAACATCTATTTAATACTGTGATTAAAATGTAAATAGAATTAGGTTTAAAAATAAACTGTAATCATTAATTCACTGGCAGCGTACACATTGCACCCTTCTACAGCAGCATACTATATTCTGTTATGAGTAAGCGTGAGTAGGAGGAGTCAGGACACTGAGATGTCGCGGGATTTTGGAGCGTGTGTAACATGCGGCATAGACGTTTTACGCTTAGGTAGTAAACACACTCATATTCCAAGTTTGAAAAAAATTAAAATCATTAGATATCGGTTTTCTATAGTCAACTTATAATAAATGAAGTATGAATTAATTGAAATACGTCAGGCTACAAAGATTTTTTATAAGTTTATTTTTACAAAACATATTTACATTGATTATCTTTCAATCAATCTTATTAATATTATGTTTATCTAATTTTTTTTTGTTTATTGTTTGTCTTTTTATTATCATGCAGATATTCATAATAATAAATAAGGTATGAGTAGCTAACTCCAAGTGCACAGTAAATAGATGTTAATGCTAATGGTAAAAATGGTAATTTATCACCGAAAATTATCTTATGAATTACAATGTCATACAATGTAATCAGAGGAAGAGCTGCTATATAAGATAATTCATAGTCAGGTAAAATTGTTGATTTAAATTGTTCTTGCAGTAGAGATGCAAGCATAATCAAATACGTGAACCACAAAACAAATTTTAATCCTGATAGTTCTATTGGATACAATAGAGGAAAAAGTGATGTATGGCCTGCTGAGCTTAGTAGAGTAAATACCCTACTATCTTTTGCATCAGTTGCAGCAAGAATACTGTCAATCAATTATATAAAATTATTGTTTATTTATTCTATACAACACTTTCTGTTGACAATTGAATTAATTTCTTACCATAATGGTATGATAGCAGTAAGAATAGCTTTTTCATGTACATGCCAACCAAACAGAAATGAACTCAGTCCACACAAAACAATACATCTTACGAATTTTTTTGACAAATACTTATTTTTAGAAAAAATTAAATTCCATAAAGCTGGCTGTAAATAAAATATTTCATTAAAATAAGAACAGCAAGAATTTTAATGAGAAAAATAAGGTAATTTCTTACAATCATGGATATAAACGTGATGAGAAACGTGGTGAATGGTGTTGGTGTTGGGAGAATTGTGAAAGAATCCTCTTGCACCAAACCACCAGTCATTGAACCTATTTTAATGTTATCTAACCATCCTAATTTTTTCCATATCACAATCAATAATTTGTCAACACCTGCATATAGACTCCATGCATTAGCAGCCCAATATGAATGCAGCAATCCCCTTTTGAAAGGAAATAATCTAGACAAAACCTATTGATGTTAAACTTATTGTGTCATATTTAGTTATTTCTATATAAAGACCATGGTAAAAATTATGTTGAAATATACCTGTGGTAATTGACTCATAAATGGCCCAAAAGACAGGAATGTTATGAAAATCACAATTATACTTAATTTTACTAGTCTAAACACAAAATATCTATTTTTGAAACAATAGCTTTTTAAGAGCCAAACACCAAATGCTGGTGCAACATACAAATAGAGATGTTTCAAATTCAACAATATTGTAAAAAATATAGCTCCAAGTAAAACTTCATTCTGTAAAATATTGTTGTAATAATATAATGATAGACTTTATATATAGCAATTAAAAACAAATTACCTCTGTGTTTATTTTAGCTGCTTTTGCTATCGATATAAGTAATATGCCGAGAAGAAACCCATTGTACTGAAAGTGTATGTGATCAATAACAAGCAATCCTATATTACACAGAGAAAACAATGCCAGCATTAAAAAGCTTTGATTAGTTTTACAAAAAGTGTAACCTGCTCTAAAATAAACAGTTTGTAAGATTTACATAAATTAAAATTTATATTAATTTTAGGTGTTGTGTTCTTACTCTCTTACACCGAAAACATAAACTATATCCATAAAAATGACAGTTGAACGTTGAAATAACTTTGTTTTGTGAGAGGCATAGTTAAAATTGTCAATTTTCAACATGTTTGGATCAACATAATAAGCTACTGTGCTCAACGCATACTCGAACCAAGCAAAGAATGGTGGGTAGTCTAATGTCCATTGTGATTTATTATTTGTATACCATTCGGTTACCGCTAAACTGTGAGTGATTGCTAGCCAATTTCTATGAACTTCAAAATCTGTAGAATGGCTAAAATTGAATAAAGAATGCAATTTTTATAAAATACGAGGAACTAAAATTATTAACGTTGTACCTACTATGTTGGGATTAAAAGAGCTTTGATGCACGTGATTAGAATGAAAATCATAATTAAAACTTTATCACAATATATTTTATCTATTCCTACAGGTGTAGTTTTATGAATATCACATTTCTTTAATAGATTTGGCATTTTGAACATTAAAAAAAAATATTTTTTAGGTTAGAAAACTGGTTAGTTTAACTACGCGGTCATAAAATGCTGCTTCATCCACCAGACCACCACACGATAATACCAGATAATAAGTTCTGTGTGTATAACATTAATTCACGATCGCGGCGACAGAGCCGGCACTTAGCACTGCAAACGCGTTAGAAGATTAACATGTAATTAGTATTCAACTTCGATAAATATTACTGCATATAATTAAAAAGTTTTCTGAACCTATATTTATTTATTTATCAAAGTTTATAAAAAGTAAATGCTAAAATTGGAATTGTTAAATATATCTTACTCACATATAATACATAAATATCGGTATAAAAATATTTCAGGCACTTTCAGATGTACATATATACTGTCATTCAATAAATTCAAAAATTGGCATGTACACTCCATTTTAAGAAAACGACTTTTATATAAAATTATTCCTTAAATAAATGGTTTACTTTATAAACCATGGCACTTTCTGTAACAATAATACATTTCAATATCTTATAAGCTTTAAAATACGACTAAGGTACACAAATATATTTAAATAAAAAATTATTATTTGTTAAATGTCATACACACATAAATAACGGCATGTATTATAATTGTCAGAAGTATAATTTAGAAAAAATTTCTTTTTTACACATATTTTGCACCGAAATTATACAAGACGGCTACTATACTATAACGTTACAAAACAGTACAAAATATTTTTTACATTTATAGCACTCCACTTGTTTTATATATGTACAACAATACTATATACCTAGACCAGCAGAGCTCTGATAACTCAATAAATACGATCAGTTTTAGCACATCCATATGAATTTGTAATGGACGATTTGTCTTTATCATAACCTAGGCATAAGTCTTAATTTTTTTTAAATATACACAGACGCTATTTTTCGAAATGAATACAAATCCAAACAGTTAAAAAAATCTTATCGATAGGTATCCTTTGTTAATTAACTAGTCGTCGATATTCTTATTCCTTCGAGCACTTTCACGCGTTCCTCCAGCTCTTTTATTTTTTTCGCTCGGTTCCTACAGAGGTCTTTCATCATAATCTTTTCTTTTTCCAATTTTTGAAGCTTCAAGTGGTCCTGAAGATTTAAAGTTATGATTAATAATAATTATAAATCGCTACAAATATAATTTTTACACTATTTAAACGTACTTCGACCATTCCGCTACCGACTCCAGTCAAAGAAAATTTATGCTCTGGATTAGCTTGAACAGATTGGTCCCTCTTGTTTAGTTTTTTATGTCTACATACGTGGCATTCACGAGAACTGTCTTGCATTAAAGCCCTTTGTAATTTTTTATTTTCTAGCTTCAATTCAGCATACTAAAATAATGAAAAAAATACATATGATTAACTGAATCCCCTACGGTGATTGAAGCTACTCAATATTTTGACTTACTTTGGAGTTGGCAGCTAGAAGATTTTCTTTCAATTCATTGCATTTCATTTGGTAAGGAAAGTTTTCAGCTTGCAGTTGAAGTTCGAGCTGAGTTATTTTACTGTTACGTGACACCAGATCAATTGACATCTCTCGAATGCGATTCCTTAAATCACTACAAGTTTTGCATTCCTCGATTATTGTTGTTATATTCGGTGGAGTTGGCGTAGAGGAAGGTGATTCGATGTCAGTAATATCTCTCTCATTATCGAGGTCGAGATTTCTGTTTTGATTGTAAACGTCACTTCTTCTGCGGCGCCTTCTACCCCTTTGAGTATTCGGACTATTGCTCTTTGAACTGTTACGGCTTGAGTTTTTGGCTTCAAGTTCTCCGATAACACTATTAAGATCTTCGATTCTGCATATTAGTTTTTCTTTTTCTAAATTCAATCGAACAACTTCATTTTGCAATTTCGTATAATTAAGTTCTGTTACTCTTAGATCGATTTTCAATTTTTCGTTTTCATCTTCTAGTATTATCACTTTTTCAATACTTCCACTAGAAGATCCTGTTATCAACCGATCTCGGAGCTCTGCAATCTCATTTTCTTGTTTTTGAATGAGGTCTGACATTTCTTCTGCTTCCTCATCAAGTTCCTTGTTTTTATTTTCAAGCTGTCAAAAATATTAATATTATCAATTTAATTTTCTTATAAATTACATTTTCATAAAAATAAAAAAATTTACCTGTAATTGTTCCTTCTGACACTTTTCAAGTTCTAGTAGTAACCTATCTCTTTCAAGCACTAACGCTTTGTATGCCTCGTCTTTTTGAACAGCTATGTTGCGTTTGATATACTCACACTCGTCCACAAGAATTGAAATCCTTTGTTCAAGTATAACTTTCTCCCTTTTAATAGTTTCCAGCTCAATATTAAGCGTAGTTTTTTCCTTTCTGTAATTGGTTAAATCGATGTTATATTCTGTTAACTTTTGATCTTTGTCAGCAAGCAACATATTCTTTTCTTGAATATCGTGCTTGAGACTATTGATCTCGCGTAAAAGCAATTCATATTTTTCACGAAGTTCTTGCAAGTGCTCATTGTTGTACTTTTCTCTTAAAGAATCCAAAGACATTCGAGTGGTATTGAGTTCTTGCTCAAGTAGTCCAATTTGTGCTTGCGCCTCTGTTAACTCCAGTTGAACTTGAGACTTTGATTCTTGCAGTTCTTTAATGCGATTATAAGAACCTTCAAGATGGTTTTTGAGTGATCTATTTTCATCTTGAAGTTCTTGCATTTCGTTTTCTACTCGAACTTTACTTGTGCTGTTCCTTACCTATTAACAAGATAAATTGAGCATATAATTGTTGAAAATTGAATGAAAATAGTTCAATTACCTTCCGTTGAAGATTAGCATTATTTCTCTCAAGTTCAGCACAGCGATCCTTGAATTCCTCGATGGTTGTGCATAAGGCTGTATTCTTGTTTTTCAATTCTGCAAGCTGCTTACTCAGTCCAGCCGACTTGATCTCTTCGTCAGATAATTTGTCTTGCAACATATCCAGTTGTTTCTTATTTTCTAATTTCATATTATGAATATCCTCCTTGTATTTTTCTATGGCGGCTTTACGATCAGCTATCTGAGTATGCAAACTTTCGAATTCCGGCTTCATTGTTTCAACTTTGGTTTTATACTCCGTTAACAAGTCGCATTTAATTTTCATGAGGTTTGTTATTTCTTCAATATTTTTATTTTTTTCTAAAACTTCAGCTTGAACGATCTGGTTTGCTTCTTCCATGTTTTGTATTGTTTGCTCTAACTTCATAATTTTTCTCATTGTTTCTGACACTTCCTGATTTTTTATATTGATAGTATTCTTGAAATGTTCAATTTCAAGATCCTGACCTTCTACAGTACTTCGAAGATCTTCGTTTACAGATTTGTAAGACTCGAGTTGGATAATGTGTTCTTTTACAGCACGTTCATATTTTTCTTTTTCGTGTCTCAATCTATCTTCCAATTCTTGTTCTTTAGTTCTTGCCAATTTTTCTTTCTCTAGAGCAGCAGTGATAACGTTATCTCGATCGCTATTAGATTTGGATTTTTTATCCAACTCAATCTGCAGGGAATTAATTTCAGACTCTAAACTGATAATATTATTATGCAACTGTTGATTCTCGTACTGTGCTTCCTTTAAATTCTCTTCTAATCGACGTACTTCATCTTCGAAACGCCTATTCTTACGTTCTTGTTCCGTCAAATCTACCTGAAGTTTTTCGAGATCAGTTTCCAATGTTTTAGCCCAATTATTGGCTTTGTTAGCAGCATCATCACTTTGTTGATATTCTTCTTTTAATTTTTTAACATTTTTTTCGTGATCTTCATATAATTTTTTAACAATCTCTCCTTCTTTGGTCATAATAGTAGTCAAAAATATAAGGAACATGTCAGTAACTGATTTATTTGACAATTCTTTTAATTCATCAAAAGACAAATTAACCAAGCTCTTCATTTCTTTAAGCATTCGTACTTTTGCCGTATCTATTTCTTCCTTAAGCTTCTCTTCCAAATAATTGTTGCTATTCTTCTTTATTTGTTGTATCGAGTCTTCAAGTTTTTGTAACTCATTTTTTAACTCAATATTTTCTTTTTTATAAGCGTTTGCACGTGCATTACATTCTTCCAGTTCCCCTTTGAATCTTTCTTCGGCTTTGCTGAGGATACTTTCAAGCTCTGATTTCTCTTTCAACAGACTTTCTAACTGAACTTCAATCTCTAATTTATAAGCTTGAAACTCTTTTTCCGATGCACTCGCAGTTTCGACTTTTTTGTATAAAATTGACAAATCTTCTTCCAGAAGCTTCACCTTCTCTTCGTACTGTATCGAATTTCCCTTTAGAGTTTCGTTTTCTTTCTTCAATTCTTCGTTTAACAACTTAAGCGATTCTATTTCTTCTTCAAATTTAACGTGTTCTTGTCTTACTTTGTTGACTATGTCATCAGTATTAGCATTGGATTTTTTAAGTTCTCGCAAATCTTTGGTAACATCGTCCAATTTATTATGCAATGCTTGAACTCTTGAAATTTTACGAGACGGTGTATTTAATTTTGAGCGTCTAGTATCTGATTTCTCACAGAGTAATGAATTACTGTCCAATTGCAAATTTTCCAACTCTTTACATTTCTCTTTGTATTGATTCGACAATTCGTTATGGTTTTCTTTAACTTCCTCAAGTTCATTTTGTAAGTTTTTAACTTTACCTTCTAAAACAGTAACATTCATTCCATCGTAAATACTACTGTTATGTGTCGAATCCAAGTAATTCATGCTCGCCTCAAAGTCTTCTTTAGCTTTGGCTTTCAATACTTCCACATCAGCACTCTTCTGCTCGAATTTTTTCTGGACATCAATAAGCTTTGTGCTAAGTTCTTTTACTTGAAGTTTCAACTCTCTTCGACTTTCATTAAGTTCTTTCAAATGAATGCATTGAGAGCAAGCAGTCAATTTCAGTTCACCAAGTTTCTTATTAAGAGAGGTTAAATGATCTACTTGTTCCTGAAGTAATTTGACTTTTTTATTGAGATTATCCACGTTTAGAATATTGCTATTTGCTTCAGAAGAGGATAAATCTAGCGGCGCTAAGGGTACGTTCGTAGTTTTATCGTGAGATGAGCTTGTAGATTGATTTAGCTCATTGCTAATATCTAACATGAGATTTGATGACAAATTAGCATTTTCTCGGACTAATTGAGCTTGTTTAGATTTCACCTCAATTAACTCATTTATCAATCGCATGTTTTCTTGTTTCAAAAATTCAAAATCACTATTATTAGAATACTCGCTTGACTGTTGAACTTTGTAAAATTCTAATTGTTGGTTCAAAATTTCTACAGTTTCTTTCAATTTATCACATTCCTCGATATGATCTGTTAAATCACTGGATAAGTCAATATTTTCTTTTTCTAAAGACTGTAATTTTTCGATTAATTCGTCACACTTGTCTTTGTATATGCACTCATGATCATAGAGTTGTACTTTACTTTCTTTTACTTTTTCAAGCTCTTCAATTTTATCCATTAAATTAGTTGACAAAGCAATGTTTTCTTCGTTTAATTTTCTGATTTCTTCTTGGTACTCTCCGATCTTCTGTTTCATTACATCATCACTAATGACAGGCGAAATGGCTCGAACATTATCAAACTGTTCAGTGAGCAATGCCAACTCACTTTTCAGTGATGTCTTTTCTTCTGACACCGAGCTGAGGCGTGTTGACAATGCATCAATTTCTCTTTGGAAATTGCTGACAACTTGATTACGACTTTCTCTTTCTTCGGATAATTGCTTTGACATGTCCATGTTTTCATTGGTCAATATATCGATTGTTTGTTGTAGTTGTCCAAGAGTTTGCTTAAAATCGCTTAAAACTCTTTGAATTTCCTCAGTTTCGTGAATCTTTTTCTGAAGATCTAAGCGTAATCTTGCATTATCTTTTTCTAAAACAACTTTGAATTTATTGAGCTCCTCCAAAGTGAGCGACTCATTATCAAGTTTGTACAACGAAACCGAAGTAGCAGATATAGATAAATCTTCACATTTACTCATGTTTTTATTGCATTCTGACATTACTGAAATATTGGACGCTTTCTCAGATATAGATATATGATTTGTCTAAAATGAAATTCATAATTATTCAGAATATTATTTCCACAAAAAGCAATAAATAATTTCAATATAAAGAAAAAAGTAATCGTATTCTTACCATAGTAGCGTCTATATTAGTAGATATATTAGAGACATCTTTGCTTTCGTCAAATCCAATACCTGTAAAATTTTGAGCAAAAGACTGTCCAACTTCCATGTTATCAAAATAGGTCTGATTAGCAAATATACTACTTGATTCTAATTCATTTTTATTAATTTGTGCTTTAGCAAAATCATTTACTTTTGAGCTGTCGCGAACTAATTCTGTTTCTTCTACGGTAACACAAGATGGTTTGACAAAGTTATCTGCATCCAACAAATTAGCTTCAACTTCTTTTGTTGTATCTGTTTTACTCATGTTAGATTTTATATTTGGACTTGTTGTAGAATCTGCTACACTCATATTACACTTACTAAGAGTTCCGGAAACGTTCAATGCATTTATTGACGAATTAATTTTTCTATTGGCTTCAAATAATTTTGCAAGATGTTTTAATTCTTCATTTTCAGATTTTAATTTCTCAACAAGATTCTTCAAATTGGCTGTATTTTCTTCGAAATCATGTTTTAAAGTCTTAGCTAAACCAGCATCAACCTTTTCTTTTAATTCGTTTCGTTCTAGTAAAACCGTTTCAAGTTTTTGTTCAAGTTCCGATACTTTACTGTTAAATGATTGTTGCATATCTACCATTTCTTCTGTTTTTCTATCTATGCATTTTTGTAACTCAGAATTCAAAGACTCCAGTTCTCGCAGGTCTGTGATCTTTGAATTCAATTCTTTCTCAAAGAACGAAATTGTTTCTTCTGACTTTGAGTTTGTATTTGCAACAAAACTTGTCAAATCATTAATCTGTTGCTTCAATATCTCAATTTCATCTTGATAATTCTTTATTTTGTTATTGGACATTTCTAACTCTTCAGCTATTTTCTCGTTATCATAATAAAGATCTTTTTCAGTTTGAATTTCTTGATTTTCTGTTTGCTTTGGTGCATTGATAGAATAACGACATTGTCGTAATTTTTTCAATTCTTTCTCTAACTCTTCTTGAACTTGTTGCCGTTTCGTTATTTCAAATGTTTTTTCATAGACTATTGCTAATAACTTTGAAACTTCATCATCTTTATCTTCATCTACATGCATCATTTGGTCATCAGCAATTTCAAAATTTTGTGTCGAATGAGGTTTAGCTAAAATCATTTGAGCACTCGTTGCTCTCAGTCGCTCAATCTCCGTCTCCAACTCTTGCTCAATTTGTTTGCAATGACTGATTTCGTGATCTTTCTCTTCTATCAGTGTTGAAAGCCTTGAAATTTCATCAGCTTGATTTGAAAAAATATCGAAGAATTCATTAAACTGACTATCTGTTTGACTTTCTGTAGAAGATTGCTCGATTTCTTTTGTATTTAAACTTTGCATTAATTTTTCAATTTTCTCTTTCATATGTTGTTCAAGTTGTTTGTATTGCTTAATTTCAATTGTTTTATGATGAATCAAATCCTGTTGATTTAATATTTTCTTATCTTTTTCTTCTAGTAATTTTATTTCTTTATCATACACGCTTTCTGTTTGGAACTCTATGAATGCTGGCTTTATTTGTATAATTTTATCTAAATGATCTTGCAATTGTTGAATTTCTTTTTCGGATTTTTCCTGTTCATGTTTGTATTTTTCAATATCTGTATTTTGTGATTGAACAATTTCAGTCATCTCAAGAACTCTATTGTCAATAATTTCATTCATAATAATTTCTGTCATATTCTCAGATGATTGAGTTTTTTTTAGTTGTTCTTTCAATTGTTCTATTTCTATTAGCAGTTCTTCTTCAGATTGCTTGTAATTTTCAATTTCAGAAGACTTTAGTTGAATGATTTCTAACAATTTTGATATTTCACTATCTTTATTTTTATGTAAATCGAATGGATCATTAGCAGTCTGAATATTTTCATTTTTGTTCTTTTCTTGTTCATCACTATCTTTCAAACAATGTTGTAATTTTTCTATTAGCATATTTGCTTTTACTTCAGATTGTTTGCAACATGTAATTTCAAGAGACTGCTCTTTAATTATATCTTCTAATCTACAAATTTGACTACCTTTGTCAGAATCAATCTTGATGTTATTATCTTCTTGGTCCAAGTTGAAATGGAATGTTTGAGTTGAATATTGTTGATCAGTTTTTGCATCTAGTACTGCAATTTCTAATTGTTTTATTTCTTTCCTCAACTGTTCATGAACCTGCTTGCAATTTATAATTTCAACGTCTTTCTCCTTAACCAACTTTGATAGTTTCAGAATGTCAGAATGTTCATTTTGATTAACTACAATATTGTTACTATTTTCAGGTTGCAATTCTTCCACTGTTTGACATTCTTGAGATGTTTTATCAATCTTTGTGAAAGCATCCAAACATTTTTGCAGGTCTTCAATTTTATGTTTCATTTCCATTTCTATCTGTTGATGATGAGTTATACAAAGAGTTTTTTCTTGAATTATTGCATCCAGTTGAGACATTTGATTTTCTACTTGACTATCAGACTCAGGAAATTTTTCAGTTTGGCATTCTGTAGATTGTAAATCAATATTAACTACTTTATTTAGAGACTCTTGTAAACATTCATTTTCTATTTTTATTTCTTTTTCAAATTTACGTAGTTTTGTAATTTCGTTCGTTTTCTCTTCAATCATTTCATTTAACCGTGCTATTTCAGCATCTCTATCAAAATGAGCATCAGTAGTTATATTTAGTTTGAAAGAAACATCAGTTCCTTTTTCTGTTACTATTTCAAGTGCACTTTCATTTGTAGATTTGTTCATTTCATCCACTACTCTTTCTAACTTAACCATCTTTTCTTTCAAATTAGCTAGCTCTGTATCTTTCTGTAACAAGTTTGCCATAAGACAATCAGTATCATTAGCGAGATTTTTAATACGCATATTAGCTTCCTTCAACTTATTTGATTCATCAGCTAACTTATTTTGTAATTCATTATTTTCAGTAGCTAATAATTCATTTTGTGACTTAATTTGTTCTAATTCTTGAAGACATTCATTGTATTCAAAGCTTAATTTCTTTTCTAAAGATGTTAACTGTTGTTCATTTTTCAGAGAGGTAAGCAAATTTAAAAGATATTTAAGTTCACTGAGAATATCAATTTCACCTTTTTCTTCACTAAATATCTTCGGTTTCCATAATTCTAGAATATTTGGAACTTTGGTACTTAGATGGTAGATACAACTTAGTGACAATGTTGCCTGTTCTTCTAGCTCTGTCTGGTATATACTATATTTTTCAAGCCTTTTATGGAGTGTCTCAATTTGATTTTCCAAAAATATTTTTTCTGCTGGTGATTCAAAATTTGACTCTTCAGCAAATGCTTGTTTTTCTAAAATACAAAACTCACGAAGAGCTTCATATTCCGCCATAGTATAACTAAGTTTTTCTCTTAATACAGATTTTGGAGTACCAGGAGATGATTCTAGTTTTGTATCAGCTGAAACATGATAAATGTTTACAACTTAATTAATGAAAAATATTTGAAATGTATTGATTAATATAGCAGTACCTTGATTGAACTTTCCATCTGTTATTGACATATCACTCCAATAACTTCCACTGCTGAGTCTATGAATTTCAACATCATCTTGAAATTTCACTCGATTTCCTAATCTTTGTGCAATTTTGTTAACATTATTTACAGAATCTGTGATACTGTTAGTTTCTTCCTCGCGTTCTTTGGCAACTTTTATTAATTCCAGTTCAAAATCAGTAAATTCTGTTTCAAATGACTCTTCATTAAAGTTGACTGTTTGAATAATACTTTTTCTTTTATTGTAATTGTTGGCTTTTTCTATAGACTTTGATTTAGATTCAGGACTGACAGTAACAACTTCTTCAATAGTAGGCAAACTTTTTGGTAACAAACTAAATCGAGAACTTAGTCCTCTGTCTCCAGCCCATGTACGTCTTCGCTTTGACTTAGGAATTTTTGAAACAACATCATCTTTTGTAGCACTATTTGCAGAAATGAGACCATTTTTCAGTAACTCGATTCGTTCTTCTAATAACTGATTTAATCTATCTTTTTCTTGAAGTTTGGATTCCATTTCTTGCACTTCTGCTACAAAATTTCCAGTTTTTATTTTATCAAGTTCCTCTGTTAATTTAGCAAGTTGTTTTTTATATCGTTTCAAAAGTGCTGCATCTGACATGACTTCATTTAATTGTGGTTTGTTCTTTACACTTTTGGCTCTCGAAGCAAACCACAAAGTGCATTGAGTTTCCTCAAAAGCTGCTGGTGTTACAGCACAAATAATTGTTGTCATAGCATTACCTCCTAAAGATGCTTGTAATAATCTTGTCAGCTTACTGTCTCTAAAATTTACATACTTTGTATATTCCGCTGATTCACTGAGTTGTTTTATAACAAGGCCTAAGGTAGAGAGTGACATGTTAATATGAGTTCCTTCTTTAAATCTTTCTCCTGTCGCATTTGTTTGACTTATTCGCTCTGAACCTGCAAGGTCTACTAAATTCAACTGTGAAACTTGAATGGCTCCATCAGAATCACTACTCATATCTCTACTTTCAATTGTTATTCTATAAATATGTAAGTACAAAATTAAAATATATAATTGGCAACAGCAAGTGACCTATTTCAAGAAGACAAATAATGTAAATTACCTGAATATTGTATGACTCCTACTACTTCTCTCGTTCATATCAGTTTCACCAATTCTACGGTTCTTGTCACCTTTTTTCATAACTGCCATAATAGCATCTGGACTACTGGCAATTTCCTCCTTACACTTGAGCACTTGTACAAGACCATTGTTATCTTCTCGAAGCTTAAGATCTACTGTGTTTGTATCCAGCAGGTCATTAACTTTTTCATTATATATTTCTAAGTAAGATACTCTTAAAAGGAACTCTCTGCCACACGTTTCAGCAATGGAATCAAACATGTGTTCTACAGCCATAGGAATCACTCCAGGTTCAGTTTCAGTACCTAACATTGTGTAAGTCTTTCCAGAACTTGTTTGACCATATGCAAATACAGTACCATTGAAACCTTTGACTGCAGCATCAACAATTGGCTTAACAACAGTTTCAAATACATCGTTATTTGTTTTGTCAGGGTCAAATATGTGATCTAAACATGAAAAAAAAACATTAAGACGTCACTGAATGATCAGGTGAAATGTGATGACTTTGAAACCACAGTAACAATTTTAATATTAAACAATTAAGGCTTACCAAACTGAAACCCCTTTTCACCGCGCTTTTTCTCGGGATCTGTAGGAACCAATACGTTATCAACTACGGTCCATTGGATTTGAAGATTTTCGTCCTTTTCCCTTTTGATCAAAGGTCGAACCTTTATCGCCACTTGGATACTATCCGACATATTGGCAACGTTTACACTCGATAATCACAATTTGCAGGGACAATCACATAATTTTAACGCGAAAAATATTGATTAAACCTAACCGTTAAACAAAGGATATCGGGATATTCTGTGTCGTAGTGCCAGACGTACGCCGGATTTTTCAACCCTCGAGTACTTTTCCGTTATGATTTGAATTCTCATAGGGGATTGGTCAATTTGCTGACGTTGCATTTGTTTGAATTGTGACAGCGTTGGTAATTTTTCAGTTTGCTTAAGTACTGTTTAAGCCAAGCAATCACATGAAAGACATTTACAATAGCTGAAATATCTTTTTTCTTGTGTAAGTTAATTAAGGATCGCTAAATATTTATTAGTAATTACTGACATTACTTTCTGCATTTTGATAACATTTAACTTTCGTTCCTGCTATATATACTATAGCGTGACAGTGGCGACAGCTATTTATTGCTACCGCCTAAATTTGAAAATTTAATATTTTCTGTACGTAACAGTTTCGTAGAAATACTTTTACTTAACTTTTTAAATATTAAAATTTTTGTATTTGTTTTACTTTGTTTTAATATATATTTTTTTAAATAAACATATACGATCCAGAGTACGTACATAGTAAATAATTTAGTTAATATTAAATAATAAATCAGCAGACGTTAAATTTGACTTAAGACTTATTGAGTAAATCAAAATTAAATTGGTTGAATAATTTATTTTTTCTTAGACTTATTACTTGCTACAGGTTGTTCAGCTGATTTGGGACTAACTTTATTCCTATGTTTCTTACTCTCCATATGTTGACCAAATGTTATTTCAGAGTTCAAAGACATGTTGCAAGGTGCACAATAATACTGTCCTGTAACAAAAATTTTAAAAAATAAAAATGAAGATTAATTCTTTTACTGGTCGAGAACAACTTTTTTAACCAATTTAAACGACACCAGACATATATACACTTATTGCATAAATATATGCATAATAAAATAGGAGTGTTATTAAAAGTTAAAGAATTAATACTTATTCTAGGTTATATTTATAAAAGAAATAACGCGAAAAATATGTTTGAAGTAAATATATCGATCATAGGCACACAAATGAAAAATTTTGTGATTGTAATGAATATATCCTTATAACTTATAGATTCGCTAGAAGATTATTATATTATTTGAGAATGCACTAACGTACCTGATGGTGTTCTATAAATGGAATAATCTATATTATTTGAAGAGGCTAATCCTGTTTCTGGTATTGCAAACAACAATTAGAAAATTTTTATTATAATTTATTGATTAATGTTTTTCATTTAACCGTAAAAATTTGTTTACCTTCATCTGTAAGTGGTAAACCAAGTTGTTTCATCATTTTTATATGTTTTGCTCCTCGTTTGTGAGTATCTAATTGATCCTGACGATTGGCAGAAATTCCACAAATTTCACAGCGAAGGGGGGTTGGAATGGGGATTGGAACTTGACAATACTGAGGAACAGGTGGAATGACTATCGGTACTGGCAAAGGTTCAGATACTACTGGCAGAACTTCAGATTGAGGTTGAAATGCTGTACCTATTCCAAAACGACCAGTTGGATCCTCTGGAATTTTTGACTGAACTTTCTTTGCTGCTATTCTGAAAATAAATGAAATTAGCTTTTAAATTACAAATTTCTTTAATATTACATTAATTGTGATGATAAATTAATATAAATATTGTTTAAAACTTTTAATACTATGAGGACATAAAAATTCTCTTAATTAAGAACTATATATTAATCACTAATATTGAATGTATACTTTGTAACACTAAATAGAATGATTGAAAATACTTTTTAATTGTTTATTGTAAATAAATATGCTTCCATATTTATTAAATTAAATAACTTCCTTTTAATACATACTTTTGGTCAAGTGCTCCAAAAGCAGCTTTCAAATGCTTTTTACCAGAATAATGCTGACTTGCATCTGTTTGAGAAGTAAACCAAATCTTGCAAATCTAAAATTAAAACAATCATTATAAGTTTTAAGAAAACTTTTGTTCCATAAAAGCAATTAATTTAAAATTTTGTTAAATTACTTCACAATAGGTGGTCCAGTCATTAGACGCTGTTGTACTTGATACTTGAGTTTCTTCAAGTTTCATTTTCTTTGCACTTTGATTAAGATACATAGAGACTTTTTTCTGGTGTGGTTTACCTTGATAATGTAGTCTTGCTTGTACTGTTGAATTCATCTAAAAATAATAAAAGTATGTAAATAATGAAGGAAGTAGAGTTATCTATAGGATAAAAATATAAACTCACTACTGCATTGCATAAATCACATTTTAATGGTTTCATTAATGCGGACAATTCTTTTTGAGCATTAGCAACTTTTTCTAAATCAATCGTTAAATTTCAAAATTTAATAATTAAAAATGTAAAAGCAATGTCAAAAATAATATATAGATATTTTACCTGCATCAACTTTAGCATCGATAACTTCAACTTTTCTCTTAAAATATTTAACTTTTGGTTTACCGACTGGATCTTTCTCTTGAGCAGCTTGCAATGCTGCTTTATATGCAGATTCATACCACTGTGTATAGACTTCAGTATTATCAGCTTCCGCTGGTATCCACCATGGTTGATTAGTATTAAATGGGGATGGTATTGTTTGATTAGCCTGAGAATCTTTTTTTCGATTAGATTGATGGCTCTCTTTTGAGATACTTTCTGATGGATTAACAGAAATTCTTGGAGGTGGAGGTGGTAGTATTTGTTCTAAGCCTGTATAAAAAGTAAAATATTGCTTTTATTGACCTTGATATTCAAATACAGAAATCTTGTTTATTATAATTTTATTCACCAGGTATATCAGGATTTTTTATTTTATCTAATACTTTAGATTGATGTTTTTTCATTTTCTTATTGACCGTCTGTATATCAATTAAACAAAATTACGATTTTTTTATAATAGTATAATTTTTTTAAAAATAGTAGCAAAAAATTGCTGATAGATATATTTTTATCTCGACTGCTCGTTGTGTTTATGTTCTATCAATTCAAGGCTCGTAACTGTGACTGCAAAACAAAAATGTTACCGATATATATATATATCTTCAACATTTAAACGGAATGATTTCAAACTGAATTATTGAATTACTTAAATGTTAATTTTAAAAAACTTATATTTAATTATTATTACTTCAGTTAAGTTACACCAGAAGTACACTATGTGTAATGTGTTACAAGAGGTTATTCGAATGCACGGATCCAAGTTATATATAGCTATATATGTTAGCTACTGAATATAGATATTAGTGACATATCAAAGATTAAAATTAGTTATGCAGACGGCAAACTAGCTGTATAATACTTAATACCGTAACTGCACACTAATTTCACATTTCCCGGTTCCAACATAACTTTCGTTAAAATTGGTATACTTTCTTTTTTGTAATACAAAATACAAATATCATTATTACGGGCTAACAAGCCAGATCTTAATTTTTCAAAATTGATTTACAGCACTTCGTTTATTGATGGTAAATTATTGCTACCTATGGTAGTCGCGCTATATAAAATTAATTAATAATTGTAGCTACAAATAATCTAATACTAAGATGAATATGATTAAATTATCATTTATGGATTTACTACATAATTTAAAATCATACGTTTTCCGATTAAATGAAGTATTAAATGTTTTTGTCGATAGAAACGTGATAATATTCTGTCAGAAGAAGAAATTAGTTTTACCTATTAGTTTTTAAATTAGTTTTTATGTTATTATAAATATTTATTTATTCATTAATTAATTGCTGCAACCTCATACTGGCAACTAATTTATTAAGTTCATGTTATTTTAAAAAATAATTTAAAAAATGTTATCATATATACAGTAATACAGTACAGTAATACTAGCATATTCGTTTCATATATTTGGTAAGCTTAATATTTGGTGTACCGCCATGGGCAAGAGCGATATAGGCGAGAATTGACACTGCTTACTGCTGTGTGAGTGATTTCCTAAAAAGAAACACGACTTGCGGCGCCCCCATCCCCCTTCGCGCAGTGCTGCTGCCATGCGTGTCTCTCTCTCTTTCTCTCTCTCTCTCTCGCCCTCTCTCTCTCTCTCTCTCTCTCTCTCGCATACACATCTTTAGGTATACGGTGTATGTGCATATATGTGCTCCGACGGTGTAGACGACCTTTTCGGGCCGTGTCTCTCGAAATAGGAAAAATAAAAAGGAAAGACGACGGCGGCGGCGACAGCGGAAGGAAGCGAGGAAAATAGAGAAGTAGTGTGCAGTCACGGTAAGTTTCTTCACTTGGATGTAACAACGTCGTATATATTGTATTTCTAAAAGGCGAAGAAGTAGAGAGTCAGAGGAAAAATTCATAGGCGTATGTGTAGTGTGATAGATTATGTTATTGACTCGTAGCAGCATGAGTAGCAATCTGCATCATTGAAGTGTGTAATTTTTGTTCGTGTTCGCGCGCCTCCTTATTTCGTCGATTAAACGTCACAGGCCTTTTAATTGAGTCAACACCCGCTCTGTTGCTAGCTAGCACATACGCTTACTTCCGTTCTGAACGACCATCAATTATGGCTTTGTAATTGACAATGTTAATTCTTTTTTGAGGGATTATGGGTATTCCTTTTTCCTTTCCTATCCTATAAGTGTTGGAGCAACAATAAGTGATTATTGTCTTGTTTTATTAAAGTGTACTCAAAGTTTATTTATTTCAGATATTCTTTTATGATTCAAAATTTAAAGTAAATTGATTTTACATAGACTCTCAAAAGATTTAAATGAGGTTTAAAAGTCTTTTTGCTGTCGTTGTAACATAACCAAGTGTATTAATTTCCAGAAACAGCACCATGAGTTCAGGTAGACCAATAAAATGTGTCGTTGTTGGAGATGGCACAGTTGGAAAAACCTGTATGCTGATCTCATATACAACTGACAGTTTTCCAGGAGAATACGTACCTACAGTGTGAGTACTTTTTATAAATGCTTACAAATTTACTTGCTAAAATCATAAATGTCAAATCATGATAAATGTCTATTAATAGTTTTGTAAAGTAGGCCATTTAAATACTCACAGGAAGCAATTAATTCAACTCTTTTTGCTTATCTTTCTACCTTTATAAATAAGCTAGAAAAGTCTCATAAATCTTTCATAATGGCTTTAGTACCTTTCATATAATTAATGCTACTTTGAAGTTTATTTACTGAATTAAATATGTAGCAGAGTACTTGTTTGTATATTTTATCTGTCATGTTATATTTGTAGGATTTAGTTATGAAAGCTTTTAATTCTTATCACATTTATAAGATATATTCTTTATTCTAGTTTTGATAATTATTCAGCACCAATGGTAGTAGATGGAATTCCAGTAAGTCTAGGACTGTGGGATACAGCAGGTCAAGAAGATTATGATAGACTCAGACCACTTTCATATCCACAAACAGATGTATTTCTCATTTGTTTTTCTGTGACAAGTCCATCATCATTTGAAAATGTCACCAGCAAATGGTACCCTGAAATCAAACATCATTGTCCAGATGCACCAATGATACTTGTGGGGACAAAAATTGATTTACGAGATGATCGTGAAACACTGACTGCATTGGCCGAACAAGGACTTAGTGCCATCAAACGAGAACAAGGCCAGAAGTTAGCTAATAAGGTTATTTTGCAATATTTTCAAATATATAGTTTTATACTTTATATCAGTTTCGTAATTAGAATTCACTTATTTATGCAGATAAGGGCAGTAAAATATATGGAATGTTCTGCATTGACACAACGTGGCTTGAAGCAGGTCTTCGATGAAGCTGTTCGCGCAGTACTTCGACCTGAACCACAGAAACGCCGACAACGAAGGTGCGATTTGTTGTAAACTCAATGATTTAAGGCTGATAAACAGGTTAGGAAAAAGAACTATCAAAAAGCCAGATAATTTTAACGAACATTTACAAACTTTAAGTTAACTACAGAGGAGGGCACTAACTTTTGAAAACTAATAACTTTCTATTAATTTTACTGTTAAAATAATAATTTACAATTAAATCTTTACTACTTTAATTATTAGAAATTTTTTAGTAATAGGATATCGCTAATGGTACCAAACACATCAAATTTGTCTATGGCAATCGATCCACTATACAATATTTTAATGCTTTCAAATTTTTTTACAATTATTAATAATTTATTATAGTAAACTCTTTAAATATGTCAATATTACAATTTTCGTGCTCTGCGAAAAGTTCTCAGTTTTCACATTAAAAAATAAGGATTTGTTCTTATTTTTCTATTTATGAAACACAAGGTAGAAATAATAAATTTTATTTGAAAATCATGATTGGTCAGTGCTCTGACTATTACGCTTACTAAGGAATTTTCTTATATTGCAACCAATACTGCCATATATGTTCATACGTAATAAAATCTTAAAAAATATGCCATAAACAAAACTTAAATAAAAAGCTAACTTCTAGTTCTTCTGTATTCTAATTTTTGGAAATCGAAGGTTTAATGTTTTATCGATGAAACAAACCTAGATAATATTTTATCAGATAAATCTCTTAACACTATTTTAAATGTTTTAAGCACTGACGCATTACTAATTAAAAAATAATCCAAGTATTACATTAAAAAGAGATGTTGAAAATTATTTTTTGTATGAAGACAAAAGCATTAAGTATGATAAAATGTGAAAGTAAAAAAATAAACAAATTCGTTATTTGAATACATTGTCAATTGACAATTGATGGACGATGTCACATGGGTGTTAGTGTACAGTCCTTTACCTCATTACATTAAAAATCACTTATAATCAAAAGGAAGATGCAAAAAATATATGTATATGATCTATTGTTACTGTTACAATAAACAAATAAGACATCAAATTCAGTCTTAAAATTAAATTAAAATCTGGCAAATTTGAATATTCATAACTGTACTACTTATTTTCTAAATGAGAAAAAAAGTAATTATTTCCAAAATATATAAATGAATGTTAAGCTTAAATTACTTACTAATGTCTAAAAAACACTAAAAATACAGAATAATTTTAAGAATGAATTGTCCATGTCATAAATCAAGTAGTCCAATACAAATTTTTAATATAAAGCAGGGAATGACTAACCCATAAAACCTTCAAAATAAATTTAATACTGTATCAAAAATTAAAAAAATCAATCAGTAATATATTTAACCGCGTAATATTAAAGATAATTAAAACCTAATAAAAATGGAAAAGATTGAATAGTATAATTTTTTGGAAATGACTAGGATGATGCTGAACGAATATTCCTCAATTTTGTATTAAGGAGGTTTATGAAAGAAAAAAGAATTGGGTGAAAAGTGTGCCATACGCTTTCCAATCACGAATAATTACAAAAAATGAAATAACCATTAGCGTGCTATTAGCATTACATGTGCTAGTGCTACGTTAATTTGAGTGTATAATTACGAATAGGTTGTGGAAAAGCATAGAATTTCAAGCAGACAAACAAGAGGAAAATTTGCGTCAAATAAAATAATGTCTTGATAACGATAAATAGAGTAACTAACGCTAGTTAGATGTATATAATGTAGTATAGAAACCAAAAAGCAGAGAAACCCTTTATATATTTGACATCAAAAATACCTATTCATTTATATTTTCATTTATATCTGTGCGGCATTTAACAAAGCTGTTTAGCTTTGCATTAACTATATAATTAAAGAATAGCACAACTTATATAAAGCGACTGATTTTTCTTGAAACTTTTTGATACCTTTTACCCGAGAAAAGAAAAAAACTTTTTTAACAATGATGAAAAAAATTGTAAAGCGAGCAGCTACTTAGTTTGTAAGCATAGTTCTTAAGTATTCAGCCATTGGCTCCAATTAAATTGATTATCATTATAGGTTTAATTTTTGCGACATATCTGTAACAGTTTGAAGTAATTACAGCAATTGTCGATCAGCCTTTGTAATTGAAAAAGTAATTATTGGCACAGTATGTGAAAATGCTAGAGTTAACTGAAAAAAAATCACTTGTGCAAGAAATTTGGATTCCTCATAATTATTGTTATAAACGAGTAAAAATATCCATAAATAGCTAAGAAATCTCGAAAAATAACCCTAATTATCATCATGTATTTAATCGTTTATGATAGAGCAAAAAAATTACTTAATATGGAGTTGCTGTAAACCAAAGTTCTTTTATAATCTTTATTACGTTTATTTTATCCTTTGTATAATGCGCTGCCACAGATTATTCCATGTATAAAACTGTCGATTGTAAGATAATCTAGTCACCAAAAAAATCTATTTCTGATCATTTTTTACACGTACTGGTTTTTGCGCAAACAAGACGATTATGTAAAAGAGAACGTCGGTGATATTCTAGAAAAGGTTGATGAAGATAAATTGATATTCAAATTTCAGTTTTAACGGCTATAAACTCATGTTTGTTATAAAAAAGAGAACGTACATTTTTTAATGTGTCACAAAGTAACTCAAATAACAATCAGAGAATACTCTAATTTATCGACGTTTTCTGTAAATAAAAGAAAATGAATCGAAAAATTAATTACTTTTAAGTATAATATCTGTAAATTTCTAAGTCTATTTATTAAGACTAATGAAAAATTTTAAATTCAACGAAACTAATCGTAAGTTTACTTCGTCATTGGCGGCCTATATTATGACTTATTGTGTGCAAACTAAATTTTTAATAAAAAAAAGTTTTTTTTCGGCTAATTTTGAGTATGTATTATATGTCTTTATATTTTTAAGCGATTGTCAATATCTGACTATTTTTTTATGACTTTAATTGAGGCATATAACTCTGAATTGATATTTCCATTGTTTTTGGTAAAATGAAGTGAATAAGTTAATAATTTGTTCAACTATTTAATGCATGTAAATTCGAACAATATTTATACTTATAACAAATGTATGTATATTGCTTTGTATGATTTTTGATACAATGTAAACAATTCATTTCTATGTCTATTCACAAAAACAGAAAAAATGTTTTACTTAAAAAAGATTAATTTTTTACGATGAAACGACAGTGCGATTAATCGTGTTTGTGAAGTACATGTTTATTACATAAAACTTAAGAAGCATTTATTTTTTATTTCAAGTGTACTTTCGAAGAAATTTCATTTAAATAAACACTGAACGGATATAACTGTACACAAAAAATGTTTGATTCTTATTATCCCTACTCTTGGCATGTTCTTCCATTTTAAAAATCTTATCTTTTTATTGAGATTAAATTTTGTTCTTATAAGTGAATATTAAATAATAGAGAACAAATAACGTAGGATATTTCATATTTTTCTTCGACATCGGTTGATATGCCAATCAAATTTATACCTATACCTTCATGTCTATTTCTTTTGGTTACCGTTTGTGCTTCCGGCGCGCCTGAGCCCCCACCATTATTATTTCATCTAGGCATTTCGAAAATTCGGAACACGTTTCTTTCTTACCAACGTCGTGGTAGTCACTTCCAACATTTATATTAGGGTGCAGTTCTCTAAAATCTACTAGCAGATATCGTCGACGGATTTATTCAGATCAAGCATTTACATCTAACATCATAAGATGTAAGTACATTTTCATTAAAAATTGAGAATTTAAATTTTCTGAAAAGAAGTAGAAAGAGAGGAAAAGTGAAAGTCGCGCTATATGATGCCGGTTTTCGTTTCCTCTGTTTTTGCCGCGCACACTCGCCGCTGACCTCCGCATAAGCTTCTCTCTCGTAGTTTAAAGCAAAAAAACAACACACAGCACCCATATATATATATACATATATGTGGCCGATACGAATAAAAATTGCACGTAGGTTGAAAGAAAAAGTGCAGTTATCGAGAGGAAGTCTTGGAAGGAGGAAACTTAATAATAATTCACCGGGACTTGTGCGCAGCCTCTATATCAACGGCGGCGCTGTCCGTGATAAGTGGTGGCAGAAGCAATGGCCGCCTGAACCGTGAGGAGCAGAGCTGTCGCAGTAGTTGCTGACTATCCGTAGACAGTGTGCGATAGTGAGAGGAAGTCGCTTTTAAAGCTTTCGTCTTTTTTAAAACCGTCAAGGAGTCGCCCCTGGAGAGAACGAAACGTTGGCCAGGTAAATTATTGAATATCATAAGTATTATTCTATCCATATCCACTTGTTATCGTTGGATATTCTAATCTTTCGTGGGTGGTTGATGAGAATGGATTTTTTATGTGTGGGACAAGACAAGAGGAATAGAGACGAGAGTGAGAAAGCGCGCGCGAAAGGGGGTAATAACCTCTGTGCCACGTGCACGAGGTTAGGTGCTTTGTTCATCCGTTTGGCTAACACGTCTGCGGAATCCGTTATTTTTTTCATTGGCGTTCCCTTGTTTCTCTCGCTCGACTTTTTCGCGTGCGTCACGAGTCAATTTGCGAGGTTGCCGTTTTTCGCACATACGCGAAAGTGAGGAGTGAGAGAGATAGAGCGCGCACTCCACGGCGGAAAGTGAAACGACGTCGGCGCGCAATCGACGACACATATATGTATCGTATCTTGCTCTACTACGAGTACTTGTTTGGCTAATAAGGTCGCACGTGCTGCTACTACTGCTGCTGTTGCTGCTGCTGCTGCTGCTGCTGCTGCTGCTGCTGCTGCTGCTGCTACTGCTGCTGCTGCTGCTGCTGGGCTTTCTACGCGATCGAGAACATCGACCACCACTGCAGTGTGTGCTCATGCTCACCTCTACGTTGCCCCGCGTGAGGATTTGGTTTCTTTGCTGTGGGCATTGTTGCTGACAGCTGACACGCTAGATGTACGGTGAATGGATTTTTCCTCTGTCGTATGTTTTTCTTTGCTTGGATTCTTGTTCAATGAACAAGAAGTTCTCGAATGTGACAGGGTGAATCAAGTGACTTGGTTTAATTGATTCATGTGAATAGCGCATTTAGCATATTCTATTTCAATGCCATTCATTCTTAATTGCACAGTCAGTGTTCAAGTATGAATGTCTATTGATTGAAACTATACATGAATAATCTAAAATAAAGGGTATTTTTATAACAGGACCAGGCCAAGTCTGAATGGACAGCCAAGACAATTCTTTAGAAGTGGGAGGTGTTTCTATGATCTCTGACTTTTCTGAACCTGCAGAGATTCTTGAAGTCACTGAATCCACTGGTCTCAGCCCTCTGACCTCTTCCCTTGATCATAATCTCACCTTCCATGAAGATAGCCCTTCTTCCAACGAGAGCAAAATGGGCATTGAAAACACATGGTATGTACTATTATGCAGGCAAATATACTGGTTCAAATGACAATAGAACTTATTATTAGTATAATAACTTATTTGTTATATTATAGGACTGAAGCAAATACTTCTGCCTCAGATTATGCTGTACCATTGCAAGCTTCATTTCCAGAATTAGTTTCAGATCCATTAAACGATAATAGGAATGGTGTTGAACATGGGCCTTTCCTTCCCTCGAGTGAAGCTGAACTAAATGATTTTTTTTCTGATACTGGAGATCCTCCTGATGATTCAGTAATTGGTAAGTATTTCATTCTCACAAAGTATCACAGATTAATCGTACAAACCTACATTAATTGACTAATTTGTTTTAGAAGTAAATGCACCAGCTGGTGTGTGTGGTCTACGGAACTTAGGTAATACTTGCTTCATGGCAGCTGGACTACAATGCCTGACTGCTACACCACCAGTGCTGTGTCATTTTCTTGAATTGCAACAACGCAGCGAGAAAGTACCGCCACCTGGCTCATTAATGGCAAATTTCAGTGCATTATTGAGCAAAATGTGGTCAGGCAAGTATAATGTACTACAGCCCACTGAATTTAAAGAGACTCTTGGAGTATATCACTCACAATTTAAAGATTATCGACAGGTAATTTATTAGAAAATCAAACTAATTTTTATTTGAAGTTTTCGTAAAATTAATGTTTTACTTCGACTTTGAAGCACGATTGTCAAGAATTTTTGGCATTGCTGCTAGACTCCTTACATGAACAAATGAATTTATCAAAGACAAATAAGCCATGCCATATACCTACCGCTACAGCGACAACTGCCAGTGCTACAAATTCAAATCAAAATGGAGACAAAGAACCTTGTTTGGGGGCTACATTTAATACTGCCACTTGTGATCCTGATTTCATGGACTTTTTTGATGAGCATATTTCACTAGACAACCCGAATAGTCCTAATGTTACCATGGCTGGTTCACCTAGAGGTAATTATTTTAAACGCGCACAGCATATACACAATATTATTATTAACTGATTATAATTATAATTAATGCTTAAATGTTATAATATTTTAATTCTAGAATCCTGTTTGGATGATCTGGATAGTACGGCAAATTCTCCTCACAATTCTCCATTGAACGAAGACGAGGAGACTCTGGACTCGGACGAGATTGTCGATCCAAAGTCTAGTTTCAACCACAATGATATGAAAGAACTCCGTCAACTACGGCTAAACAAATTCAACGACATCGCAAAGGATGCCAAAACAAGTAATGCCAACTTCTTAGTATCGCCGCAAGAGTGTAATAATGAAATACATTACGACTCGCAAAAGTTCCCTAAGGAAAATAGCCGAAGAATTACCCTTGAGAACGCCAATCTTACGGAGAGTCACGATTTTGACAATAAAAACGTCAGCGGCAAGCGGTTAAAAGAAGTCAATTGCCAGCGGACCAAATGCAGTCCAGAATGTGTTTCAAGCGGATCTGAAACGGAGTATGACAGCGGATTGGAAAAGTGTAATGTTAAGCGAATGCGATTAGAGGACCAAGAGAAGAATCATAAGAAAGATGTGCTTGATGCTGATGCATTGCAATGTGCGAGGCTTCTGCAAAATCATGAAAACGGTGCTGTAGCGACGCAAGACGATGTCGAGGCTGAAAAACACTGGTCTAAGCATTTACGAGCAAACCGAAGCGTTATTGTCGATACCTTTCAAGGCCAGTTCAAGAGCACGGTGAGTCGATAAAAAAGTAAAAATTTTGATTCAATATGTAAATCTTCTATACTTATGGAGACATACGTCGGTATGTAGCTGTTAAGATCGGTCTACATCGTAAACAGTCTCCGAGAGAAAGTACAATTATTTTCCTGTCTATTTTTATTATATTAAAAATAGATTTCAATCAATTGTTACATACGTTATAAAAAACATACTCGGTATTTTATGATTTTTCAAATTTGACAAATTTTAATAAATTTATTTGTATTCCAGGTGGTATGCTCACATTGTAAGCATGTATCGGTAACATACGAGCCATTTATGTACCTGTCTGTACCGCTACCTTATGCGATGGAAAGGCAGTTGACCGTTACTTACATTCCCGCCAACGGCGAATCACCTATCAGATGCGTTGTCTCGCTCAATAAACAGTCTAGGGTTAGTAAGCTTAAGGAGGAATTACTGAAGACTCTCGAAAAAAATGACGTATCTACGTCCAGTATTGCTGTGGCTGAGGTTTTGGAAAATCATATCGCAAAAATATTGGTAATTAAGTTTGTGTATTATATTTCAAATTTTTATAACGAATGGAGGGTTAAGAAGGTAGCATGCTGGTTAGGACTAAGCTGCTGTCGATACTGTCCTCCAATATTAATATGCTTTGGTAGAACATTTTAGTGACATCGAGTATGGTCACTAAGCTACATTCTGAAGTACAATCATTGCTAAAAATATTTTGAGCTATTGATAAATGTAACGAATAAACAGAGCATAACGTTTCTATAAATTTCACAGGAAGACAACCTAATGCTGAAGTTCGTGAATGACTCGACACGATTAATCTATGCATTCGAGCTGAAAGATCCTCCCGAGCCATGGGTCGAGTCCGACACTGCTATCCCAAGTACAAGCAGTAGTAGTGGTTGTAGCAGTAGTAATAGTACTGACCAGCCAATCGAGAATAGTCCAAGTAGTACGAGCTTGTCTGTGGGTTCGGCTCCAGATGAACCTTGCACAATCTGCCTAGAGGAGAACGATGGTGATCTTAAGAGACACAGTGAGAACAATTGTAAGCTTCTCATGTGCGATCCTTGCATCGAGGTATGATTTAAATTTTTTTACTTTGAATGGAGCTTATTCACTTGTTTACTATGTAAATACAAGTTCAACGCTTTTAACTCGAAACGCACACGCTTTGTAGACTAGAAGTTATCACGTAGCTTTGTTTTTCTTTTGATCTATACATGGGACAGGAGTTAATAAATTATGAATTAAAAGAAAAACAAGTCAATTCTCAATGATGAATTCGGCAGTGTCAATCTTGCAGAAGGGGTGTACCACGACAGGCGACTTTTGTTTGTCGGTCAATTTTATTCACCTCGGGAAGGTCTGAGAAAAGGTCATTGAACGCTCTAGCCGGGCGATGTCGTAATGGCATGTACGAGAACCAGAAACAGCCCGAGCCTGCCCAATTGCCTGGGACGCTTGTTTATCCTCTTTTTTTGTTCTTACCAAAAAGAGGCGAGCTGAGGTGGTACTCGGCTTGGGATGGAAACTCGTATGACCCGCTCTTTAAGTACAATCTGCGAGCCGCATCAATCCTTTGATCGGAACTCAATTCAGACTAGTCTGATGCTGCCGTTACAACTGAGAGATTAATTATGACTGTTTTCTAAAATGAATATTCTTTCTTCGTTAAGCATTTTCAATGTTTTTGTAAATAATCTTGAATTCAAAATGTATCAGCAATTGCTTATCCGTGTTACGCTTTTCATTAAAATTTGTTAAATTTTGTTTTAATTTCCTTACATGGGTAAAGAAATAATTGTAAAAATTTAAACTAAATTACGAGGCCTAAAGAAACTACCTGTTTAACTTTCCTTTAATCTACTTACGCATCATTATTAACGCAGCAAACGCCTATTGGAGGGTAACAGTGTTAAGTTTAATTTCATTCATAGTTTATTTCACAAATTGTTATGTACTTCCTCTCTTAATTATTCGTTCACCTTTCTCGTTTACGAAGTAAAAGCGTCGATCAGTTGTTTATTAAATTATATATTAATTTATATCATACATGATTTTCTTGAAAAGAAATAGACAAGTAGTATGCTATTGTGCGTACTAAAAGTATCACAGGTAATACAAAAGCTTAGAAAAAGCCAAGAAAAAAATTCCGTACTCGTTTGTGAAATAAGCTAAAGCGCGAAAACTGAGCGAGCAGTGCGTATTACCCAACAGAACTACTTCAAGAGCGACAAGAGACCGAACAAGTGTCCAGTGTGCTCAGCTGAGATGACCTCTAGCTCCTTCGTCAGAATCGACCAGTCCCAACGTGCTCGTCCCGCTATCCGAATACTCAATGTGCCGTTGGTAATGCGACACGACACCGTCGAGGCAACCAACAATCGTAAAAGTACCAAGCTTTTTGGACATCCACGGCTATTCAAACTACCCTCGAGGATCGATGCCAAAGATCTATGGACACTTGCTAAAACGGTTGTGCCAGAAGATGATACTTTTACACTTCATCTCGTAGATGGGCAGGTTAGTAAAACGTCTGATGTATAAATTTTGTTATTATTGAACCATAATCAAAATTTTTTTGTGAATATTGGTAGGGTCGTCACTGCTCCCGATGTATATTTGGATCGCATTGTACTGGTTGCAAGGTTGTTGAGAGTGGTATGGTTAATTTACAAAACATCGATACTCTGGCCATACGGTACACCGAAAACGTTCCTACAACCCAACAGGTCATAGATCACGTAAGTGTCAGTCAACTAAGGAAGCACCATCAGCTTTCTCTTTACGACTGTTTACAAGCATTTAGCCAAAGGTAATTCGTACTTTTATTAATGTCCGACAAACGTGCGTATTTTAAGGAATTTTTTCCATATTAATTATTTATTTTTTCTACAGCGAAATCCTAGATGAACACAATCCATGGTATTGTCCTAAATGTCGAAATAATCAATGTGCTACTAAAACGTTAACCGTTCATCGGTACCCCAAGTTCCTTATTGTCTATCTTAAAAGGTAATGAACTTAATTAATTTTTTATTTCTAATGAAAATCGCCGAAAATTTTACATTGTTTACTAAGTTGCATATTGTTGTAGGTTCGTTTTCTATGAGTGCGTGAGTACGAAACTGGACGATAAAGTGACCTTTCCCTTGGTAGGGTTAAGTTGCGGAAAGCACCTATACGACTTATATGCGTGCGTTTGTCATTTTGGTGGTAAGAGATTTGTATATTTAGCACATCCATTCTAAGGGTTATTTTTTCTCTATCCCGCTTAAAGTTCTTATGTATAATTAAATTTTGTTCTTGTAACAGGAGTATCTGCTGGACACTACACGGCCTACGCGAAAAATCCACAAACAGATGTTTGGCATTACTACAACGATGACATCACGAGTAAACAAAAACCGCATGAGGAAGACTTTAGTAATGCTTACATTTTGTTTTACAGTCGGCAAGGGTCCAACGTGAAACAGTGCAATATTTAAGGTCTTATAACTAAGGATACTAAGAAAAGTCGTACATGACTGAAAATCATTATCGCAAAAGACTTTTAAAGATCTCAAATGAGGTCTGTAATTACGTAAAAGACAAAACATAACTGAAAATATCTTTCAAATTCGTTGGCTGTGTATGTGATGTAGCGAAATTCGGACGATGATTCGCTCAATGATACTTGCTTTTTTTTCTTCATTTTAAAGTCTTCGTTCATAATACTTGCGTTGGTAAGAGATAAACTTATTAAAGCTTTCCGTAATAAGTGCTCAGAAAGAACGATCATAAGAAATGGCACTTACAGTTCCGGATAAAATGTAGAGATAAACATGTACTAAAAATTATTAGATCATTTGAATGGCGAAGTAAACGAGTGTTCCAGGAATATGTGTAAACATTTTTTATGTAATACAAATAGCGGAACATTGCGCATTGTTCCTCTCTCGGCAATTTTAATTTATTTAATTACTTTTCATTCAATTAATTAACCGATGATGGGATATTTTTGAAACCTGTGCGTTTAACAAAAGAAGAAATTGTATTTTATACAAAAGACTGCTTAATTTGATATAAAACTACTAATTGGTAGTACGTGATTGCGATGCTGCTGATCATTTACAGTATCATATATATATATATATATACGCAGTATGAGTATCCTGGAAGTGGTTAATTGAAATTTACCGGTACATAAAATATTTTAATCGTAAAAAGCAAAAGAATTAGGTAAAATCTTTAGAAAATTTTTTTAATGAAATTGATGAAATATTTCATACGCGTTCCTCGAATAAATATTGTTAATTTGTCTGATTTATTATTTTTTTTTAATTAGTCGAATAATTTTTTGATAATTTTTATTAAGACCGAGGAATAGTGTAATGGAAACAAAAGAAAAGCCGTTTTGACGTGAAAATGTTTAAACGGATTTGTACAATAGACAAAAATTTTGGTCATTTCTAATGGACGTAATTTATTAGAAAAATATAAATAAAAAGATCATCGTTGAACTCTGCGTTTTACATTACGTTCATATCTAAGCCTTCACTCCCTTCCTTCCCAATTTTAATTTAAATACTTTTGATGAAACAAAATCTACTCACTGATAAGATTATAGTTGAATTACCTTGAGACATTGATATGAAGTTAATTATTTCTCTTCATCAGCGTCCTATCTGGGTTTAAGTCTAGATGATTTTTTCAGGAACAGAAGTCTAATGATTTATTTATAGAAATGTTTACATTAATTTATGTCGGTAAATGTGAGTTTGAATAAATAATTCATTTTATCATTATGAGTATTTATTTACATTTTGGTGGTACTATAATATTAGAGTAACAACTTACACAAATGAATAAGGAATACACAAATACTGATAAAAACTTATTGTTCTTCGCACAAGTGATCCTTTCATTCTCAAACACTGACTTAGAGGACCATGAGAAGTAACAAAATCAATAAAACGTGACTAGATAAATTTCAATTTTTTCACAGACAAAGCTACAAATCCCACTGATGTAGATTGTAATTTCTCCTTTGTTAAGCAAACTTTTCGTGAATTCATCGTATTTCTACGTGGTTTACAATTATGCGTATAAGACTTTCTTTTATAAATATATAACTTTAATATCTGTCTCAAGCTATAGTTATACAATATCAATCATGACAGCAATGTGATTTATTTTATCTAAATCAGCGAAGTCTTCTTTCCTATAGAGACGAAACCAATCATGTCGCTCTATTTGAACACTTTTTTTGTCTACTTAAATCTTTAAAATAAAAAATTCAAAGGTCGTGAATGAAATTCCTTCGCTAGTTTTATAAACCGATGGAAAATCTCTAATAATAGGATTCGTACTCTCGATTATTATTATTATTCGAGCGAGACTCCACTTGTTCAGCCTTGTTTTTTTTTTATTATTTTTGTTATTATTTTGTCCTCTTTAAAAAATTTTACAAGTAATCGATTATTACATATCCCGATATGGACTGTAACGTTAACAAAATAACTCTTCGCTTCTGTACACTCTGCTAATGCTAGCTGGTTTTTAAGTTTTTTTTTTAATCTCTCTTCGCTTTGTATTATCAAATCATTATCGGTGCTTATACTAAGACATTCTTTTTTTATGCTATCGTCTCTTGCGACTTGATCTGCGAGATTCAGAGACTTTGACTTCAATGCGGTTTTTTGTTGAGAATTAGGGTATGACATACCAACATTTATTTTTATTTTAGTTTATTGTACAGTAAACTTTATTCAAAAATATTCATTCTAGCAAAGAAAATCTTTTTAGGCAATTTCGAAAAATTTTAAACAATCTTTAGTTTTAAGAGTGAGAAAAATCACTTGAAGTATGTTGGTATGTAATGCCCTTGCCTTCATTCTTCTCCATCTCTCTCGTTATACTTTTTTCTTTCGCCATATTATTAACAATGCTTTAATAAATTTTTTTTTCTAAAAGCGAATACAAAACTTACGTATGTCTATGTCTATTTGCAAGGAAACATGCAGTAGCACGTATTATAAATAATTTGTTTATTATGTTCAACTTTCTTCTTTACAACCAATCTTAAAAATATAACTACATTTGTTTTGAACAATTTTGGAAAGAGTGAAAGCGAGAGAGTCAGAGGGTGAAAAATAGAGAGAGACGAAGTAAAATCTATAATGTTTAAAATTACATTGTTTTTCGTCATATTTTAAACAGGCAATTTTTCATAAAAATGCTTTTACTTAACATTTTCATAGATCTATAAATGTACTCGTAATAATACTACGTTATCACTAATTATTGTGTATGATGGATTTTATCGAGTATTCTTTATGAAAAATGATATCTTGAAGTCATGTGAATTTAGGTGTGCAAATTTTCTTTTGTTTTTTCTAATTTTGTTTATATTTATTATATTTGTTGTCGATACGTCCATGTGTTTCTTCGCACAAACATAGAAGCGCAGAAGCATTTGTTTTTATACAGACAAAAATGATAAATATTTCCTTATGATTAATCTGTTTTTCAATGAAATATATCAAAAATTGTAATTGTGTTCTTAACAATTTAATTACTCTTATACAATATAAATGTCTTTGGTCAGGTTGTTTCGTGATACCCATGGTCATCAACTTAATCCGGAATTAATATTACGAGTTAATTATATTTTGTATAAATACTTGGGATATTCACATTTCGACGTATAGGTTTAAAAATAATTCTTACACTGATCAACATTGTAAATGGTTATTGGCATACAACGAAAGAAAAATGTATTCGTTAGTGCGCGCGCGCGCGTGTGTGTGTGTGTGTGTGTGTGTGCGTGTGTGTGAGTGTGTGCGTGCGTGCGTGCGGCGTGTCTGTGTGTAAACTGTAATTAATCGTGAAAAAAAAATTTAAACACTACTAATTATAGTATGTATGTCTATAAAGGCGTATATAAATCATTCTTCTAACCTACGATAATTTTCATCTTTGAACTTTAAATTGTTTGGGTGGAGTATCGGTTACACTTAAGCGATTGGGCGGCTTTTCAATAACGACAAGCACAACTCTGAAAGTCTAAAAATGTTTCATTTTAAAAACACTTATCCTTTTTTATACATTATTCAGAATCAACGGAGTGCCGTTTATTTGATCGATGATGGAAAATCAATGATATTGTCAAGAAACCAATATCGAGAAAAGGAAAAGGAAGCATTGAAAATGTTAAACTTTCAGAGAAGCATCATCGTTGATTGACCAATCAATACATTTAATGCGTAGAAACGCTGAACCACACGATCATACTAGGATGTACAAGTCCACCGATTTCACAGTTGACTGTCCGGGTCTCGCCATTGAGTACGAACAGCGCTTCGCTCGATGGGCTCACCATGTACCGTCCGAATACGCCACTTTGAACGATCGGCCTATTTGGCTTGCCCCACTTAGCTACGCTCAATGGCATCGCTTTACCTACTCCTGTTATCATCTCCACTTTGCCTGTATCCCAATCATCAATTATTCATCAATCGATCAAAAATTCGTGCTATATTACAGAGTTTAAATCAATTATTTTCACCTGATGATAAATTGAGGAAAAGTATATCCTCTTTATTGTCCATAGATGACGCGTAAAGATCGTAGCCGTGTGTAGTTTGGGATGGATAGAAGGTAATATCGCTAACATTCAATGTCGTTTTCACATCGAAAATGAAATTCAAGCCAGTAGCTGTAACATTTTAATTATAATTAAAATGTTGATAAAGAAAAATGAAATTTGGAGAAAAATGGAAAACTTACGTAGTATTTCTTCGACGATGAGAACGACGCCGTTCTGACGGCGGTCGAGGGTGACGAGATGTCGTGAGTCAGGCGATACTGATGGCTTGCCGAGAAGCTCGGGCTTATGAGACAGCACCGTATCTGTCACGTAGTCTAACAGCAATTGGCCCGTCGGTTTACCTGTTATTGGCTCCTCACATTGTAATATCACGAAACCGTCTGTAAATATTTTAATCAACGTAAATTAATTGATGATAATTAAGTTTTGCAATTGAATAGTAATATTAATAACTGGAATTACTTCGACCTACATCTAACAGGTTTAAGGTGCTACTTATTTGGAACTTTACGGATTTCCCTTGAACATTTTCAAGTTACACTTCATTTTATGCAAGGCTTCAAAATAGTTCAGCACTTTCAAAAGGTTTTTGAAAAGCTTCCGAAATCATACAAGGCTTTTTCGAAGCTTTTACGAATCTTCAGTTTGAACGAGGTTTCGCTAACTTTAAAGATTTTTATCCGCCTTTTCGATATCAAATGAGATTTTTAAAGGAAAGTTTGTAATCAGACATGACTATTCGATTGTAATTATACAGGTAAAACAATTTATTTGATGTGCACGATATAACACTGGCAGTTACTTTTTTTAAGTTAATAAGTTGTTTCCTTGTTTGTTGTTTTTCAAAATAAAAAATAAGAAAAGAAATGGTACGGTTACTCTTCCTAAGTTTCATTATTCATTAGCAATTGGCAACAAAAAATTGTTGAAATGTTAGTTTTTTTGAAAATTGCATCTCGCTCACTTATCGTAATAATAACTCGATCGGATTGATAAAAAAAGCATAAAATTAACTGTAAGGCAGTTCTCATATTGGCATTAAATTTTAAATGATTGTTTGAAAATTTGTTGAAAAAGAAACTGTCGGCGAAATTCCAAACTCGTATACAGCAATTTCGCCGTAGTCCGTAACACATGAAAACTCGGTTACACATCTGCAGCAACAGCACCGGCGGCACGGCGGCAAAGTTGTAACTTGCTTGGACTCTTGTCTCGTGCCTCTTCCTTTTGTGCACAAGGGAGAGTCTATGCACGCGCGTGATTGCTCTTGCATACCCGCATACATATATCTATAGAATTTCCTTCTTGGCAAATCTCCGACACTCGACTATATGCATCGCATGCGAGGGATTTATAATACAAGCAAAATGGAAAATGTTGTTGAAATATTTCCAGACCAAACAATTGCTCCACGATGAGGTTACATATCTCAATGAGTCTAAACAGCACAGTAAAAAGCTTACAAAGAGCCGGATAGACAATGTGCGCTGGTACGCAGTTGTAAGGTGCGAGGTCGGCGCTCCTTGTGTACCTCATGTTCGCCAGGTCAAGCTTGTACATGCCGCGCTGATTCGTATGCGTCACGTAGCCATATTTGAACGCGTGGCCGATGTCCTGCAGACAGAGAACACAAAGAAGAGAGTATTGGCTGACGGACTCAATTGGATCACGCCAATCGCGCAATTAATTCGATGCTTTCCGCGATATCGCCGTAACCATTTCTTCTTTTTACAATAAAGCGAGCAGAACGTTGAGAACGCAAACGACATGAAAACACGCAAGAGCACGCGTATTCTGTCGCGTATCAGCCGTCGCGAGCAAGCAGCACAAGTCCAATCGATTTGTCAATAGTGCAAAAAATGGCTCGTAGCGTTTTATCACTGACACGAGCGGCCACGTCGAGCGTTTTTTTTATTTGCGCATATACAATAATACCTGACGCTCCGGGATGTAGAGCCCGCGTACAAGATCGAATTGGCCGTCAATCGGCTCCGGATGGACGGTTCTGTGCTTCTTCTTTTGCGCCGCGTCGCGGATCACTTGTATCGTTTTGACCCCCATGTCGCTCTCACTACGCCAGTTCAGTAGCCATACTTGATCCAACGCTGGCACGTATTGTAATTCCACCGGGTATTTGTCGGTCGTTACCACCTTTGGGATAACAGAACAAACTAGGTTGCTTTTTGATTCCGAAAGAAAAACGTAGCAAGAGAGTGTTTCTGCGGGCACTCACGTCAACCACGACCATCTGGACTTTGCTGATGATGAGAATGCGATCCTTCTCGGGCTGCGAGACGTAGACGTAGCGATTGGCCACGTTTATCGCGCGACCCCACGTACAAGCCACTCCTTTCTCAGCGCACACGTATTCCTGCGATCATTAGAAATCGGAAAATGCCTCGCGCGGAGACGAACAGAAAAACAGTTGCTAGAAGCTCGAAATTGCATAATGCTGCGACAGAGACAGGCAACATAACCGAAAGCTAGATTGCTAAGATGCAGAGCTAGCACCGTACCTGAGTGCCGGGTATAATGTCCGTGGACTTAATTTGATGATACAGTCGGCAAGCTGACGGCTCGTACACTGATATGCCCCACTCGTGAAAAGAGAAGAATCGACGCTCTTCGCTCGGTGCAGCTGTGGGTTGGTGATAAACGCTTTACAATTATTAACAATCTCCTTGTCTTTTTTGCACTCGCCGACTTTTCACGCGTAGCAAAGATTAAACGACCGGCCAAGCTTTTCTTTCCTTTTCTTAATCCATGTCGCGTGAGTCGTCTCGATTAGCGTTAATGTACCCTCGTAAATTTCCTTGTCGTGCTTGGACAAACTTACTTTCGCGCCATTTTTCAAGTTCCACTTTTTTCTCACAATTATTACCGTCGCCTTTTTTCCGCATATCATCGCGTCGAGCGCGCCAAGGTTTTTCACAAAACATTATGAACCTGGCCTTTGCGGTATACCTCGGCATATCGACAATAATGGGGACTAAAAGTTTAAAAAAAAGCATAGGACGGAAACAAAAAAAAAAGGGGAAAAAAGCCAGCGGAAGGGCGACCCGAGCGAATCCGATTCAACGCCGGCCAGATGAAATTAATCAATTAAAATGCGAAGCAGTGCACTCAATGACCAGGCGAGATATATATCAACAGAAAAAGAAAGGGAGGATAATAGCAGTCGATATATATTTGCGGCTCGGCCGGCTTTTGTTTTTAATTGCATTCGCTCCGCCTCGATCTGACAGTGTGATAAGCAAGTTTATTATATATTGATATCGCTTGGCAACTCGCGCGGATTCAAAAACATTCCAATCGATTTTTGCTATAATTGCATTGAATAAAGATACTTACTCGGCGTCGGTTGCTCCTGAACGACAAGGCTACTAATATCCCTAGTGACACCGCCAACGCTCGTAGCTTGACACATGTACGCCCCAGTGTCGGCGTAATTGATACCTCTCACTGCCAACCTCGTGCCATTGCCAACAACCTCGTACTTCTCCGCAGCTTCGCGCAATGCCTCGTCGTTCTTCAACCACTCCACTCGTGGCAATGGCTCGCCTACAACGTGGCAGCGCATTGTCGTTTCTTCCCCTGGGCGTTTGGATTGTAGACGCGGTGTTACGCGTACTTCGGGGGTCGCTGCATAAATCATAAGATTATTTTTTAATTGCATTTTTCAACGAATGGTTGGCTTGCCGAATTGCGATTAACAAAATTCTTCCTATAATTCTTAATTGTCGCTGCATTTTCATTGTGCCTTATCGGGAATAACGATTAATCGTGTATTTTTAAATTTCGAACCAAAACGTAATTAAAAAAAAGAGTAGAAGTCAGTAGGGAGGCAATGCAAATGATAAAGAGGGGAGAGCCAAAGATTAAAGAAAGACGATTAAACGAATAGCTATATACTGACTGTGTACGGTGAGAACATGAGTTTGAACGACGTCCTTGTTGCTAAGTGCATGGCAAGTGTAATTACCAGCATGTGCGAGCTGTACTCTCGTTAGATAGAGGCTACCATCGTTGAAAATTCGTATCTGCAAGGAAAAAGAATGTTTTTGCGTCGATCGCCACGTAGTGAGCGAGCTAACACAAGTGAATTAGACGGATGGCAAGATAAATAGTTTCGTACCTCAGGTTCAGATAGTGACTCCAAGTCGGCGTTATAACGTCGCCAGACTAACGGTGGCGGCGGGGTGCCAGTCACGTCGCACTTTATCTCCACGTTGTCGCCCACGCGTGCTGGTATGTGATTGATCTCCAAGTTCTTGTCCAGCGATACTACCGACACACCTGCACATATACACGCACAGCCTTTATTGCCTATCATAATAAAATCACATTTGCTTCGTAACCTCGCTTTTCATTTTGCTTTCAATTATTGGGGCCCATTGCCTACTCGTCGTGACATTTTGCATCGCTGCTAATTGAAATACTTTTCATCAAGACAGGCTCAGATGCTACGTAATTCCCGTTTTATTTGCTAAGAAGACATCTTGATTCGATAGTAAGCTTTCGGCTGCTTCCAAGGAAAAAGTTCGATTTTAAACCGTACGGAATAAATAGGAAGTCTACGTTCTGTGCCGCTCTTGAAAGGACGAACTCGTCGTAGAAATGCGATCCAAAAGCTTCCAGCGATTGAAGTGTACCAAACAAACTCTTCAAAGGGAGAGGCACACAAGCCAACGAACGATTCGCCAGTGAACGTCAAAGGCGCAAGAGCGCGAGGATGAAAATGCGCTAAAGTCATGTCACTGAGCAGCAGAATTGCGTACTGTACAGCGCATTGCTTTTTCAAAAACTTTTCTTTTCTTTTTTTTTTTCATTCAAATTAAATTCACACAAAGTTTCTTTCCTTCGAAGTTAGTTGAACGAACTATTATCGTTGCAGGCATACATCGAAGTTGCATACAAAATGGAAATCAAGCGAAAGCGAACGAGTCATCTACAGAACTTTCATAATTGAAAGTCATTAAGCAAGGACTTTCGCTAGTTCAGTTTGTAGAGTGGTGAACTCTAGTGGACCGGCATTGTCGAGAATTCAGAAATCTATCTAAGTCATCAGTTCAAATTCAGCTCTAAGGATTTTTTCTCTTTTACCTCTATATATACATATATGCATATTACTTTTCTAATCTTTCTCATTAAAAAAGTATACAATCTGACAGTGTATTTAAAAGAAAAAAAAAGAAGAAATTTATTGATACAAGCAGCCAGGCACACAATAAGCTTTGAAATAACATTACTATATAGTTTGCTGAACGCCATGTAGAATTCATTGATGTTGAGTTTGCCATCGTGGTCAGCATCGTCGTAACCAATCAAGTGCCCAAGACTGCATCCTTTGCTAAGTTGTTCAAGTTCTTCGTGTTCGGCAACTTGTTCCAATTCTTCTTTCTCAAGATCGCCATTGCCGTTCTGATCATAATGTGAGAACATTATACTAACCAAATACTCTTTGCTGTGGTTGTCTTGAGCCATGAGACGTGCGTGATTATACAGCAATAAATTATCCTGAACGAAAAGAAATCCATGTCAATCGTAAAGTATATCGATGAAAGACGAAGATTAACACACGCCTACCTTCATGATTTCGTACTCCTGCGCGGAGCAATCTTCCGAAGTGTAATTCTCCTCTACGAGATTTTCCTTACTGTCGTGAATGCTGATGTCGTGATCGGTTCGCTGTGGCGTTGTGCTACCAAGTGGCAGGACTTTCGGTGTTTTCTGATTCTCATCTGAAATGGAATAAGAAGCATCTCGACAATCAATGCGTCATACGGCATTAAAGCAGAAAATATAATCGTTTACTCATGTTAATGCATACGCATTGCGACAACACTCTAAAACTATCCGGAATGTAATGCACAGAGGCAATACAGCAGCAGAGGGACATATAGGTGTATGTAGACATTAATTCGGATGCCTCGCCTCACGCTTCGACTTGCTAATTATCCGCTACAATGGTGTGTAATTAACGGGAGGCTTGAGACCGAGGGACATACGTATTTTGCCATCGAAAGACAAACATGTGACACCGTCATCGAGATTCGATCTCGCTTCAACAAAGACGTTGTAGCTTTGTGGACTGACACGAATAGCTGCTTGCCAATGCTTTGTTATGCGCGATATGTTGAGAAAATTTTTGCTCTTTAATCTGATTAACAGTATAATTGGATCACAGCCGACTCAGTGAAAATAAGATTAGAATGTTGTTTTGTTAGAATGAAAAGTTTGGCGAAATCAACGTATTTTGGTGCGAAATTATTATCCCAAAATTATTCACTCGCTAGCTTGGATAAGCAAGAACCTTCGATAGCTTGGTTATTAAAGCGCTCGAGCTGTGGATGGTCATTGGAAGGCGTTAATTGAAATTGAATTGACCACGCGGTAATCGCGAGGATCCATAGGTCGCTGGTTCGAATTCGGCTCGAAGGACTACTTTTTGCTTACCCTTCCTTATGAATATTTGATATGTGTGTCACAAGCTCAATAATACGCGGCTATTTTCGGAACAATTCCCGACGTAAATCAAACGGTGAATTTGCATTTCGTAACACGTGGAATACTATTTTCCAGCAGAAGTTTTTTTTATTTGAGCAATTTAAACCCAAAAGGAGAGTTATTTTGCTAAGAAAAAAATCATACATATAAGTAAGAATACAAATAATTCACAGTGGTCTGAACTATATGTATATGTAGATTACAATAATCGAGAAACTTACATTAGCAATACTGACTGAAAAATGGAAGGAACGTGTTCAGGAATTTAGGATTTAAAATAAATTTAGATTTGATATGCATGTCGCAAGCTCGATATTCTTTCTGCTGGAAAATAGTTTTTCTTTGCTCATCAAACTTGGGGCATTGCCATAAAATGCGGCCAAGATCTTGTATCACGTAATTACAATGACAAACAGTGTCTTTACATACACCGATTTTGAAGAGAGAGCACTTGAGATTGTAATGATCAGACATTGCAAGGGAGTTTAAATTTCGTGACTATTGCGAACATCACTTCTGCAAAATGATTTTGAAAACAGTAAAAGGTAATCATAGCTTAGTATCAGGAGCAAGAGCGATCGCAGATTTAGCTTTGTAATTTCCGGAAATTTCGGAGTGCGCTGGAATCTAGAGAAGTGCAATGCTATTGTTATTCGAAGCAAAATTCTGAAAGTAGTGAAAGTTCTGTCTAATTCAAGAATAAAACAATTGGTTTTATACTAAAAGCAATGTTTGAAGGGACAACCCGACAACAGCGCACTCAAAGAATCAGTGAAAACAATTGCATTTCGATTAGTATATTTAGTTGCTAGCTTTACTGCTTTGATAATCGCAATGAAACTGAAATTTTACCGGAAGTTTTGCTGCCATCCGTCAAATTCGCATAAGCATTATTAGTGATAAGACGGTTGTGGATTCAAGTAATGGGATAGGCTGTTTTATTCAGCGTGCGACCGAATTCTGTGTCAATATTCATTCTATTGAGATACTAAAAGAGTCTTGAGATCATACTCGTAAATACCATATTTGCTACTGGTATACACTAGATGGTTAATAAAATTAGAGTTTTTTATGCATTTAATAAGCAAAGCCCTGCCAACAAGAAATAATGCATCAGCTTGTTGAGCTTTTTTCGAGTGTTACACAAACGAAGTCAATTGTCGAACGAAAAAAAACGGCTACTCGAACGAATAAAAAAAAGCTCTCGAGTGTAAAAGCCCGTGAGATAGGTGTTAATGGAGGTGCAATGCAATTAAAACTTGGCCATTAGCGTGTCAAAGCAGCCGATAATTGACGCGAAACGCGCATATCGAATTAACGCGTGCTGCTCGCTGCAAATCGCGTTAATTAGCCCCTCTTTGCGTGTCAGAGCTTATATTTTCGGGCTAGGCTGCACTTAGGCACGCAAAACTACGATAAGGCACGTCTTTAAACCTGATGCGTTGCAAAGGCTCTCTATGCGCAAACTGGATTAGATACATTCGCCTGAGTAGTGATAGTCATATGTCTATAAGTTCTAGCAATTTCTTGATTTGCTCCACGTGTAATCTATTTAAAATATTGCTGATGTATGTTGGAACATTAACGACATTTCATTCGCACAAGATATTTTTTCAACGATCTACGTGAGTAAATTTCGATCGTCATATTTACCTTTCATGTATACTATGAAATTAATTATCGAACCAATAGATGAATTGCATGGACGAAAATCACATTGTGATATTTGCGTAATCTATTTCATTGGTTCAATTTATATAGATATTCGAATTTTGAATACCAACTTCTCCGTAAGATTGACTAAAAACAAGTATATTCACGTGAGATGAAAAAATATTGGCTTAACAACAGTTTCCCATAAAATCCTCTCGAGAAAATCCTCGCCGTCCATTCATTTATAACCTGTCGATCTGAGGAGCGAAAACGAAACTCTATCGGTATCAGAAAAGCATTAAAACTCAGGAGGGTGAAGCGCATTACGCATTTCAGCGATGCACTCTTCATTGAGCTGTGCGCGCGCAAGAGAGATAAAAGTAGTCTGCCAGAGAAAAACTTTCGGAATAACACCGCGCGCATCCCTCTTTCCATTTACCATTCGTGACAGACGGCGAATTGATATGTACTCTCTTTCGCTCTTCTATACCTTGCTGGCAAAACTTTTTCATCTATACTTATTGATACTACGCCGCGCGACACACACACATACACACACACACACACACACACACACACGCGCGCGCGCGCGCGCGCGCGCACGCATACCTACTCGCTCTTTATTATTATTTCTTCTACATTGTTTCTCTCTTTATTGAATGGTTGTCCTGATGCGTTGAGAGTGAAAATTTTAAGTTGCGGCTATCCATCTTTCGAATGAAATCGAGATTTGACCTTTCCGACGTGAAAATTTCGCTTCGACAATGCCGGTAGCTTGACATTCAGGTGTACTATTACTGGAATCACCTAGTTTCCGTTTGTTACATGTTCGGAGGAAATCTCAAGCAAGTATTTTAACAAGCTCTTTACCGGCAATACAAGTACATCAGATTGACTCAACGTGGTAGAAATTAAGTATCGACGCAGCTACGTCTATAGATTTCATGTAGCCATGATAATCACAGATCGCGTATTGGACGGAAAATATTTTACTTGAGATATCAATGCTTGTTCATTATACGTTTTATTTAAGTATATATTTGCCAAAAATTATCATTTTTTAACTGATTTTCTTATCGCGAATGAGAATTATTATCACTCAATTCTCATGTTTATTTCAATGTGATAATAAAAAGTAATACAGTTGGCTTTCAAACGTGAGAATGTACGTGCTACAAACCTTCCTCTTTACTTTTAAAATTACTTTAAAACTATTAGAAACCTTCGATAGCTCAGTTGGTAGAGCGGTGGACTGTAGTTGGTTGATAAGTGAAAACGGAAATCCATAGGTCGCTGGTTCAAATCCGGCTCGAAGGAATTTTTTTGCAGAACCTTATTCCACAAACAACAATACTATTTTTTGTATTTATAATACAAAAATACTTTATAAGTCATACTTAATAGATTCCCTTTAATTTTTAATTATTTTGTTTCTGTAAATGGTTCCGTTTCCAATGTCAAGTATTTTTCCAGTGGTAAACAATCAAATTTTTCATGCTAGATACTGGTGTGTTTGAAGTAAAAAAATGCGGAATTACTTCTTTTTAAAGTAAACTTTTGATAATTATGTAGTTAAAAATATTCCATGTAATCGAATATGTAAGTAAATAATAAAAAAAAATTCCTTCGAGCCGGATTTGAACCAGCGACCTATGGATTTCTGATTATCAACAATGCCAACTACAGTCCACCGCTCTACCAACTGAGCTATCGAAGGAGACGACCGTCAAAGCTCACGTGGTCTTACTTACGTGATACGCACTTACTTATGCTTGCACCTATAACTAGGCAACCAGTCAAGTTTCCCGTGAGATGCTGTGTGAGAGCAAGTTATCGGACATGCCCGAATGGTCGCGTTTTTCTTCACTTTTTTCAGCGATTTTGCATTTTATCGCTTACAAAGTTTCGTAATGCAATAGTTATTTTCGGTATAGACAGAGGTTGATAACTGCAGTTTTGTTAACGTTCTAGTCACAGATATACCTCGTGATTTATTTATTTATTTTGATATATTTACTTTGTTATTATTAATAAAATCTTTGATATTTATAAATTACTTTTACATCGTAAATAGATGAAAGAATTATGATTGCAATATACCAATTTACATTTTAGTTTAAAAACTGTTATCCAATATAAGTATATCCTACATAATGCGTATAATAACTACATCAGAAACTTTGAGCTACTGCAGTTAATGACCTACATTTTGAAGACGATACGTATCAACTAAATTCGTGGTCCAAACTTATTTGTTTAACAGCCTTCGATAGCTCAGTTGGTAGAGCGGTGGACTGTAGTTGGTCTTGAAAAATCAGAAATCCATAGGTCGCTGGTTCAAATCCGGCTCGAAGGATTTTTTTAGTTTTGTTTTGCTTTCAGTTTCAATCAATTGACTATTTGTTTTAGTTATTCTTTTTATTTTCATTTTTTGCATGAGCAATTGTTACATTTTTATAATTTGTCTACTATGGAACTGTAACTGGCCTATCTCCAGCTGTGTTTATTTTTTTGCACACATTGAAAGAAGAGAGTTATTGACTTGAATGACCGTCAAGTATATTAAGTAACGAATTCATAACTTTAAACATTCATAATTCGTTCAATCAAACGTCATTTTTCAATAGCCTTCGATAGCTCAGTATGTAAAGCGGTGGAATGTAGTTGATTTAAAAAAATCAGAAACCCATAGGTCGCTAGATCAAATCCGACAGGAAGGAAATTTTTGCTTTTCGTTCAAACGAATTGGCAGCGAAATTAATTTTTGTAATTCTAAAATATGAACAGTGAACATTGCATTTGCGATATCATATCAAAAACTCATAAGAAGAATCAAAATAAAGACTGAAAATGTTCTTTTACTTTCATTGCATGCATTTTAATCCTTCATCGCAGTAGATATTAAAAAATTGTGTAGCAGGTAAAGCTAGGTTGGTTGTTTTTACCTGCATATAAAAATGATAACAAAATTATATATCAAATGCTAATATAAAGTTTCGATATCATTATTATCAGGATTCCAATAACACGTGTACTTCCAAAAATAATCATTACCTTTGTTTTTAAGATATTAGAGATTCTCATTACCAACCGAACGACTTTCAAGATGCACAAGAATTCGACCAATAAGTTGAGCCAAATAAAAAACATTTTTCAATCAACTGCCTTCGATAGCTCAGTTGGTAGAGCGGTGGACTGTAGTCGGTCTTGAAAAATCAGAAATCCATAGGTCGCTGGTTCAAATCCGGCTCGAAGGAATATCTTTTGCATTTTGAATTGTAAGAGAATGTTATTCATTTAGCTTATTTGCATTTTGCCATATACCACCAGATCATTCTTTCTCCAGACCATACCAATATCTCAAAACAATTTCGCAATTAACATTTATTTCGACGATTCCTAATTGAAGTTACCTATAGTTCGCATAACAACATCGTACTCACATAAACAATAGCAATGAAAAAAGAAATACAAATATGAAAGAACGCTCTAACAATGCTCACCTCGATGAAGACATCTCATGAGCCGACTAGCGGTGAGCGGGCTGCCTAAGTTACAGGCGGCACGATGAAGTTCGCAGTGATTTGCGTATACCTTGCCATCACTCCCGCAAACGGGACGATGACGACGAGCGCAGCGACGTGCACAAACGCACACACCCTGGCTGCCGTCGTCCGACACCTGACATTCGCGTCCAGCACCGCAATATTTGCCTATGCATGGGTCTGAAAAATAATTTGCGTTCGGTCATTTGTGGGTTTTAAAAATAATTTGCGTTCGGTCATTTGTGGGTTTTAAAAAATAATTTTAGGTGTAAAAAGTAGATCCATTCGATGAATCCAACTGATTGTTTTTAATTCAATCTTTATCAAATCCATAAGCAAATGAACTTATCATAACGATTGGATTCATCACCCCTTTGACTCGTTCAAAGCGATAAAATAAATTGCCATTCCAACCTCAATCAGTGCGCGCAAAAAGAGTCACGCGAAAGTAAAAGATTCTGTGGTTCTTTAAACGCGCGCGCTTTTGTGGTTAATTGCACGACGAGCAAAAACTACATGGACGTTTGACGAGAAAAACGTGTGGAAAGGGAAAAAATGAATAAGAAATAAAAGAAAAAGAATCGAGAGGGAGAGTATAGCGCATCGCTCGCGACCGCCTGTTCTCTCTGCGTCACCATCATTCGCGATGGCGCAACCACTTGTTGCACGCCTCCGCATAGCGTTAGAAAAGGAATGCGCTGTCGCGAGCTCACTCATTATTGTTTGACTTTCGTCTGCGCGTGTATCCATCATTTTTCGGTTTTCAAACGTGAGCTTACTTAAAAATCTGTACGAGTTTATATTTTGATGGGTAGTTATACTGCTTCAGAACAGATTGAGGCTGAGAACTCATGGAAATAACACCACTTCTTTATTACTATATTGTTTATTTTCTCTGACGACGTATGTCTTGATGCATGCATTATTTTTCTATTCATTCAATTATCCATCCCATTGTCGGTCACATATTTAAATACTCTCGTTATTTTCCCCTCATATTAACATTAAAAAAATCAATCTAAAGTCTTCAGTCAAGATATTGACACTGATAACTACTTCAATTTTATCTCAAAAACGTACTTCTTGGAATTCTTGAACGTTCAACCAAAATAGATACGTCGAAAAATTTTCGATTAAACCACTGGAACAACCATAGCCAGTCACTCAGGTGGCTTTTCAAGAGCCAAAGGAGAAAAAAGACGCGTGATATTATCACAGATGCTCTGAAAACTTTAAAATGCATCTGCGTCGCAAATAGAAAAATTGATTATCAGAGTTTATGAGCACGAAAACTCGCGTTCGAGGAAATGGTAGTTGAAGGCAGAAGTACTCGAGTTCGATCTCTATGCTAATTCAGCAACTAAGTTAGACATTGAATTCGCATTTGTATAGGAATGAACGCCTTTATATGTGCTATATATAGGGGCGGGGGGGGGGGGGGGTATCCTACATCGCTTTGCTCACCAACCTCCATATTGCAACCTTAAGCATTGTTATTGCAACACATGTAACAATTATTCATTTATATTCACACTTTCAGTGAAATTCAGTGCTTAATTGAAATCTTCATGAAGTTTATCCTTCCTAAAACAATTAATTTTAACATAACACTCTGTCGTTTGCTAAAAACTTAACAATTATATGCACAATAATTTTTCATTGATGTCACATATTTATCTTTCATTTAATAAATAAAATAAAATCAAATCACTTATATATAGATAACATATTTGTCTAACATTTCGAAAGAAACTGTTTATTATTCTTTTATTCTTATAGTATATTAACAGGCTTTAAGTTAGAGGCAAAAAGGGCAAAAAATAGACATCAAAAGATCATAAGAAATAAATGAAAACTAATCTAAAGTGTGAAAAAAGGGGTTTAAGTTAGTTTTCATTTATTTCTTATGATCTTTTGATGTCTATTTTCTGCCCTTTTTGCCTGTAACTTAAAGCAGAGAGGGAGCTGTTATCGATGGCAAAAACTATCTGTGTTATATTGTTAATTGAATTGCGTTAAGGGCCTCCGAGGAGATATTTAAGTTGCGTAGTTAAAGTTTTATTGGCAAGTTCATCGACTGTGAATATTTTGTTAGGCGTTTCGTGCTAAACTATTATTTGCCGTCCAATGTGAATTTATGACATGCATATTCACATATTGTATCTCGTGTATCAACGCGAAATGATCACATTTGGCAGTAGGTGAGTTTGGAATTGTAACTGTGGGAAATGTACTGAAAATTGAAAACTTACTTCGGCCAAAATAATCATCCTCGATGCTTATGGGAGTTGGTGGAACTGCAGCAGCATCCTGGCTGTTTTGCGGCAAGTTAGTCGTATCCGGTGTACTCGGACTCAGGTATCGGTGTGCCGTTATGTAATGATGACGCTTATGCTGGAAAAAAAGAAAAATTTTTCATTATTCTATTACTCGAAACATTTTTTTTTGCGAGCTGTATAAGGCCAGGGTATTAGGGATTGCAATGAATAAATATGAAACAGAATAAATCAATAACCAAAATTATTATTCCTAACTAATACACTTGGAAGTAAAACCCTAACGCTTAGACAAAGAACTCGGTAAAGCATGTGCCGTGTCGTCTGTTGTCACACAGCCGGGTTTCCACTCGGACTGACGCTGAGGACCGTTGGAGGCCCTTTCTCGTTTTTCGGGAATACATCCCCTTTCGCACTCTCAGACGCTTTACACTACCTCGCTCGTTAGTTTTCCGCCTAACGCTCTTTCACTCAAGAACGACTCGACTCTCTCGTACTCTTTACTTAATCGCACACACATACATACAACAACAATCCTACAATTTTATTCTGTGATCATAAAATGAAAATCTGTATAGCTCTTATCAAAATTGTCACACTTTATCAAGTTTTTGTGGCATCTTGCATAATTTTCTTGGCTCGAGCTATTAGGTCGTTAGAGCGCCGTAGTTACGATGAAAGTTTCGTAAGCAATTGAGCCATTTCAGTTCGAAAACTCCGCTTCAAACGCAGTTAATGAAAACCCTTAAGGATTTTATGTGGTGATTAATCTGAGTTTTCTACTCAAATTGAAGGACTAACGTGGACAGCAAACAGATGGAATATCCTGAAAAAACTATTGAAAAATAGCTCGGCATAGATGATTCATCGTTACAATCCACATTCTCCCGCTACGGTATAAATAAACGTGTCTCTTTATTGGTTTTTCGCTCATTATTACTTAGCTCTGGTAAAAGTTAATAAAGCCTTCCTCTTGCTCGTATAACCACCAGGGCGAGTTTTCCAGTAAGGGTTTTGGTAGAGGAGCTTTCATTTTCCGTTAGCGCGTGGGTTTAGTAAAAAAAATTCGCGCCGGCGCAAATACACGCGAGCGTGAACTGTCAACGGTAGAGGAAGAAGGATCAAGCGAAATCCTCCCATCCGCTTTTCATACTGCGCTAAGGATATAAAATAGCTAGTTTAAAAGAAAGTATGCAAACAAAGCTCGTTAAATATGACTTGCTATGGGCGCTGCATTCAAATCAGATTCCAGTACAGATGCACACGATGCCGAAGTAGTACGCTTGTTAATTTTTGACGAAATAGTTTTTTCTGTTCTAGTCGCTCGTTAACTACGGCTTCAATCGGTTCAAGTTCAAATCAGAGCAATGCAAAGATCATCGTCAATTATAAACTCTAAGCTCTCGAAAAGCTCGTTATTCTTCTGCACTTCTCTATATAAGTATAGTTATGGTCAGTTTATTGTGCCGAATCAAAAGGGACACTGCGCCACAAGCACCATAGTAATTGGACCGTTTATGTCCTGCGTTAAGCTTCAGTTATCTTCTTGATGTTATCTTCCTGCACTGCATTATCAAGTTTCAATAGCCTCGCACGGAATTGCAATCTTAATTTTTAACGAGGACGTGGTCGTTTGAAATTTGTTTTTCGAAGGCACATTCAAGTTAACAATTCTTTGCTGTTTCTTTGAATTCATTTATCGTGGAAGGAAAGGAGTGAAAAAAGAAGAGATAAGAGAAACTACGGAAGAAAAAATAAGTTCTCGAGTAAATTTTCCTGGCAGAGTCTCTTGGAATTTCTTCAAGGGGGGATGACCCGAGAGAGACAGAGAGAGAGAGAGAGAGAGAGAGAGAGAGAGAGAGAGAGAGAGAGAGAGAGAGACTCGAGTCACCGAGAGGCTGAGGCGCTAATTATCGACTGGAGAGGAGGCTAACTTTCACGCGCACACAAGGCTTTCAGAAAGTCTCTTTTCTAGCCTCTGCAAAACTCCGCCGAGGATACAGTCTTTGAAGCTTTAGTTTGCGATTTGCACGCTGCAACTCTCGTTTTTCCTATTTTCCAAAGCTTACGGGCTACTTGATTAAGGCAAAGTTTTTCAATGTTCGTCAAAGGCTTGAGTTAATCAATAAACTATTCGCTACTAGGCGATTTCAACGATTGGTTATCGGAAGAAGTTCGACTTACCAAGCGAGTCTCGGTGGAGTCTTTTCCAGAGAGCAAATCGAAAAATCCAAACTGTTTTTTTGTGGCAATCGATATTTAGCCGACAAACACCAAGTCCATTCCATATTTGGCGCATGAACTCGAAGCACAAAAGCCCAACAGCACATTCTGGTTAAGCAGCGTGGTAGACTTCTTCACGGAGCTCGCCTTCCAATAAATCTCCCTTCTCTCCGATAAAGGTATAAATAGGCTGTAGCAGCAGCCTCTCACAACAAATTCAAGGTACGAATTAATGGCCGACGCCACGCCTGATCGGATCACTAAGGGAAAATGTGTGGAGAGAGCGAGAAGCAGGAAATTGGCCTGAGATACGGACACATAATGTAGCCGTAGGTGTGCGAGCCGCTACTCTACGTATATACGTATGTGTGGCCGGCCGATCAATTTGCGAAACTCCATTCACTGTGGCGTGCGCTTCTCTGTTCTTTCTTGTTGCTGCTGTGCGAATAGCTTGGTATCCACGATAGATGGGCTATACGCTCGCTTCACTCGCCTGCACGCGTTAAGGCGCAAATGTGTTCGATGCTATGTAGTCGAGTGAATTGCTATTTGCCAGTGAATATCTCACTCTGGCGCGCAGTTCAAATACAACGATCCGTGGGAAACAAGTGATTGCAGTTATCATTTTTCACTCGAACGTTCGACGTGCTTCGTCGTGCTACTCATCGAATGCGTAGCACAATGCGCTGACCGCGCTGTCTGCGCATAGAATGAAACGCTGCTTCACCGAAATGAAGCGCAAGCCAAAGACGAACACATGGATGACTAACATGGCGCTTCATTTCCGGCCGAATGGCTTTTGGCCAACGCGCGCGGATATTTGGGTCGACTGCTATCATGGGCTCTTTATTAAGAGAAGAGCGAGTGCTGGAGGCTGGAGGTTGTCTACTATTGCTTGCTTAATTTATGTCCTGGGATATGTAACTCGGCAACGACGGCGCCACTCCCACGGCAACTACAGTTTAAAATCAAGTAGCTGTTCATAGTTGTCGTGTCGCGCTCAACTTCAATACAATCAGATAGAGATGGATTTTAATGCGAAATATGTGGTGCTTGTACTAACCGCAAGATCTCGGTTGCGGCGAAGATGCGAAAACACGAGAAAAACTTAACGTGACCTCGAGTTCACAGATAAGAGTCCGGATCATTGGTAGCGGAGCAGGCGCACTGATAATAGGGCGTTTCTCGCCTTGGCCGCCCTAACCGCACCCGCGCGCTCCCATCTCCTCGCTAAGCCCTGCCTACATCTTTAATGGTTCTCTTTTCTCTTTTCACGATTGCAACGATTCATCGGTCTTTTCCTCTCAAACGTTCATTTTCTCAAAGACTACTAATCACTAGCGCGCTGCGCTCGCTAAACACTTATCAATTTCTATAAACTTTATAAATCATTCTCGCGCCAAATTCATCATTACCTCGTATGAACAAACCAATTATATGCCATAAACTCGATCTTCAATACAGGATTTACTTCTCATCGTTCTCCTTTTTAGTAAAGAACTTTAGCCAAATCAACCAAAGGACCAAAGCTCGACAACGGAATTTTCTTAGAAACCTCAACTTTATCTTCGAAAGTTTGATTCTTGTATAAATAGTCGTCATCGCCAACACGAAACATCGCAAAGTCCGCCTGCAGAAATTTACGCTGCATCAGACCAACCGGGTGTAATAATCCCCGAGCTTATTGCGAAGAATGGAGTGTGCCTTTAGAGAAAATCTTCATTTTTGTCGAAGTAAAATTACGCCGTTCTTCTTTTCCCAAAGCTCGAAACTGTAGATGCTTGTGCTTCTTGGGAAATTGTGCGCGTTTTCCCCTTGGGCTCTCGCTTTTATTTCAGTCGGACGAACGAGAAAAAAATCGCCACGCCGCTGGGAGAATTCGTTAAAGCGAAAGAGAGACCAGGTGCTGTTCGCGAAAACTACGTTAACCTCGAATATCAAGTTAGCTTCTATCCGGTATAACTACATTCGGAATGCAATTTAATTGTTAGAAGGTATAAAAACCATTTTTTTTTCATGTGGATTTCATTATTTTATACCGAAAAAAATGAATGTTACAGTAAGACAGATGTAAGTTTGTTAGTAACACGCAGAGAGCAACGTCAGCTATGCGCCGCTATGACCATCAAAAAAAGTGAGAAAGAAATGAACAAAAGATGTTGCAGTAAGGATCACGTATAGATATAACGACGTGCAGCGCGCTGTTCCAGAGCGCGCACGAGGACTTTATATCTTATTCGCCGGCAAGACTTATCGTGACTCTTTAGCTCCGTTTTATTTTATTTATTCCCTTTCTTTTTTCTTGCTCTTTCGCAATTCTTTGCCTCTGAGTTTTCTACTATTTCTTTATCTTTCTAACAGCGTTTCTGGCCAAGATTTTTTTATCAAAATTTTTTCAGAGCATAAACGCTTTTTTTTAGATTAACATGCTAAAATATAATATTTTGTCACGGGACTTATATAAAATATAAAATTGTACATGCTTATAAATAAAATTTTCTCAATTTCGGCGAAAGAGAAAATTCAGAATTTTACTCTTACTTCATGCTTTATAGATAGCAGAATTTCTATATAGAACATTCACTGCAGCAGAAGCTCAGTGGAATGCTCAACTTCGAAAAACTTGGTTAATTTTGAAGTCGAAGGAAGTCAGTTTTGACTCAAAATGTAACTTTTTATAGGCCAGTTATATAACTTTCAGAGGAAACGTCTCAGTGGCATGTTCTTCTCAAGGGCCGTCTTGTTATTTTTCTTATTTTTAATCGTTCAATTTTCAAGTTAAATTATACTCTAGAGTGTACAAAATTAATTATAAAGGAACTTTCTAAATAAATAGATTAAATTACACAAATTCATATCGATCAAAATAAATAAATTAAATTAAAAAAAAGCACGGGTAAATGAACTACAGAAATGCATGTGACGAGCGGAGATTTGTATGATTATAATTCCGATGTAGAGTCTTCGGTTGCGCAGCCATCACACGAAAGAAACATAGATTGAAATAAACGTTCAAACTGTCAATGCAAAACACTGTTGACACAATGAATGGTTTTAGGTTTTGTACATCCATCATTTGATTTTTAGCTGATTGCGTGACTATTTTTCAGCCAAACAGATCACAAATAAACTGGTAGGTTCTCTTTTCTATAAGGAATTAATTATTATTTTTATTATTATAAAAGGATCAAGACAAGATTCCATGACTGTACAGATGACAATGCAAAATTTTATTTTACAGCTAATAATTCGTTGTGCTTATCGTTAACGCATAATATTATTTCATTTGCTGATTGTCATTTTCTAGTCGTTTACGTTGTCTATAATTTTTTCATTGCTTGTTGTCTTATTTTGATTTTACATGTTATCTGTTTTTGCTTGAGTTTTATAGCAATTGATGATTGATGATAAAAAAACGATTGATGCACTGCTCGATATTCTGACTATTGTTAATTACAGGTTGAATCACTGAATCGTCCGAAATATCTTTGATATGTAGGTTTTACTGGATAATCGGTCATTTCTATATATTGATTTATTTTATTTTTTAACACCACTCAATGTTCACTGTCAATTGTATATGTTCTTGAAACGATTTATTAACGGCATATTTCCATTCTTGCAGATTATTGTCCGTATTCATAAATTAAATTTACTGCTGAAATGTAAATCTCACACTCCTAGATATACAAAACAAATGTTTCAAAGTATACGAAAATTTGAATTTTCACGCTCTTTTCTTCAATGTAAACACTAAAACACTGCCCGCCGCAGCCCCGTGCACACATATACATCTCGTTAGGTAAGTAAGGTACATTATCGATTGTAAGTATAATCAATCACTGCAATACTGAGATATCCATGGATTTCTTCAACTTCTTTGGCATGTAAATGATCTAACTGAGGTTTGTTCATTTCCCTAACGTGCTATTCCTGAATGTATAAGACTGTGAAGAAAAAGAGATAATTGCGGATAGAGAATTTGCATTCTTTCAACTTTTTTCATGCAGCTGTGCAACGCCTACTAAGGAATAACGTCATAGATTCATATTATTTTCTTGATGAATACAGCAACTAATCTTTTAATTTTATCATCAATCGATACTTACATTTATGCTGGTACTCAAAGCTCTCGTACGAGAAAGAGCTGAAAGCTTGCCGTACCAGCAGCTGCAGAAATCGACGAGGGAAAAGCATCTCTGGGCCAATGCTATTGCCTCTTTTTATTTTTTTGTTTTTTTTTTGCTTTCTTAGTCGTCGTGAATTCTCGGGTGACATGATTAAAAAAGGCTCCAGCGCACTGCGACCTCGGCTTATATTGCTTCCAAGTGTTTTGCAGATGCGCAGCTCTTTCCATTGTGTCGTTTCGTTTCTCAGCAGGAAATAAAAAAACAAAAGGAAGCACACTGGAATCAAAGCTTTTGCAAACCGCTCAGGTTAATTTTACTCTTGTCGCGTGGAATTAATACTTATTAAAAAGGGCGTACTAACGTAATTAATTGATGATAAATCAATTTTGCAAGAAGATGAAAGTCAAGACATGTTAATTTATGGATCTTTCGTAGTTTGAAGAGTAATATTACAAGAACGATTAGTACAGTATAAATTATCTCAAGATAAAAGACACCTATTCTTTGCATGAAAAAGAAAAAACCTTACTCTTCTTTTATTTGGACTTTTGTGTAACAATGAAAGAGATCAAAGCAACATTTATTTTGAAAATGAAGAAGAGAAAACAATGTTGGTAGTCCAAATTACTCCTCAACGAATTTATAGAAATTCTATGTCGTCGCGCCAGTTTAGCGACGCACAAAAAAGGAACAATGAATATCAAGCTAAAATATTTGCCCGTTTTTCACTTCCATTCACGTGGATTAAAAAAAATTTTCTCGGGATAAAAGGCATCGCTTCAACGCTGATACTCACGCCGTAGCACGGCGAGCACGTTACGAAAGATTGAACAGGATGTCGCTACCCGCCTAAAAGGATTTCCTTGTAAAATGGGATTTTTCGAAAGCGACCTTTTTGATCGAGCGATTTCTCGAAAAAAGAAATGCAACGCGAAAATGGGAAAAACACCTGAACACACTCGATTTTCATTCGAGACGCTCAGGATGAGAAAAAAAAAAAACATATTGTAATACTATAGCAATATAGGCGAAAGTGAGCCTTCACGCTTCTCGTAGATTTCTGTGCTGTTAATTACCAAAATTAAATTCGCTGAGCTGCCGGAAAGAAAATATACGGGAAGGACTGAGTGCGTCTCTCTCGGTTAATACCTTCGCCTGGGTGCGCTGCTCTATCTTTCAGCTGCAGCTTCGTGATAAACCTTACACTTTATATTTATTCTCTGACTGTTCCAAGAGATTCGTGAGCTGACCTACTCACTGATAATTCACAAGCATGATGCACATATCCACTGATAGACTAATTGCCAATTAGCGTGATAATTCATGAAAAGAGCAATTGAAGCAAAAAGCTTACTGAGCATAAAACAATAATTGCGACGTATAGGCTTTTCGTCAGGTAAAAGAAACAATGGAGACACGCAAGTGCTACCAAATGTCGCTTTTGTCAAAGTATCGCGTTGACAGACAAACACGATGAAAAGAGGGAGCCTCCGTATATACTTGCATCAACGCAATCAAAAGAATTATTGTTTTATTTTCCGCGAGACTAGCGAAGCGGCAATTACGTGTAATCAACTGATCGGGTTCATCGTTTTTTTATCTGCGTAGCCAATCGATGCGCTTATTACCGGCAAAGGGCAAAACGAGAGAGGTTTTTTAAAGCGACGACACGAATTTACAGGCTGAATACTTGTCGACGAATTCGTTTATGCCAACTTTAATTTCATCGAGTGCTCGAATCGATAATTGCAGAAGAGACTGATGGAACGAATGTTATCTTCTTGATTGGTGAGTTTTTTTATTTATTTATTTCTTATTTGTAGGTTTTGCTGAGTGATTGAAAATTTATTCGAGGTATCGCCTACTTGAAACGAAGCTTCCGCGGTTAAAAAGAACCGAATATTTCTTAGCATTTTTTGAAATGAAAATATATCCCTCGATAGATGGCTAATTCTGCTTATTTAAATTGCATGTCCACTCTCACGTTGCTTCATCTAATCCACGGTATTGCGTGAATTCAATCGGTCGACGGTACCGCTAGCATCAATTAGAGCAAATTCTCGATATATTCTCCTTTTTACGAAAAGTGTCTCTTGAAAAGGCTGACAATAAAGCACGATTCTAACTGCAGAATTATTTTGATTATTTTGGCTGGCGGTGTCGTGCATATTCGAGATAATCTAGACAGGATATTCAATGGCAAAAGAGACATTGAATAATAATTTTAGTGAGGCTTTTTGCACAAACGCAAACCGCAGCGTATATGTAGCAATTGTGCCTGATTGGCGCGAGGATGGCCGTTGAGTTTCTTGATACTGTGGGCGGTGGCTATAAAGAGAGCTGTTCTTCCTCCTAGTAAACCGTGACGATTGAAGCGGCCTTGAGGCCCCATGTGGTCGGCACATTTCTCTGTTCGAGAACGACTCGGGCCGCGCCACTTTGTCAAACTGCTCGATTCTTTACAGGCCAGTGGCGTATACTATAACGTCTTTATGGCGCAAGGGGATGCCTCTGCGGGGCGCGTAGTGTCGCTGCTCACCAGTTTTTCGTTGGAAAGAATTTTCTAGGAATTATAATTGTGACGAATAGACTTTGGCCGGTGAAAAAGTCGAGGTTGAAGAATAAAAATTAAAATAAAAGCGCGCAACACAAGGCAGGCATTATGCGCGGGAGTTGAAGAGAAGGAGAGGCGAGGAGTGTGTCTTTCCACCAGTGAGAGTGTACGCTACTGCGCGATGCTCCTGTGGGACGCGCCAACAGAGAGCTCCAGTCAGATTTATCAAAGCTTCTTTCTCAGTCGTCTAGCTGCTCTTGTGCCGCGCAGACATCGGACCAAAAATCCAATAGCTGCGCCAGTGCGCGTACGCTGTCGCTGTGCTGCCCAAAACATCCCCGACTCGTTTTTGGCTGTGCTTATTTTTTCGCTCGCCAATGGCCAATGTCAGTAGAGGAATATTGTGAATATTGTGAATATTGTGCATATTGTGAGAATTGTTCGTTAGTGGAAAGACCTTTTCTAGTGCGAATTTTGATACGAAATCTGTGCGTATGATTTTTCATTGCTTAAATACAGCCTAGGATTCTCAAGAAAGATGTACTTCCGCCTACTTCTCGTCTCCGCGTTGCTGCTGGTAGCTGGTACGCGAGCAGGCCCAACAATGACGACCTCATCGGGCACTGCAGAATTGTCAACAGTGTTTCCAGCCACCGATGTGAATCTGTGCCCATGCAACGCCAATAATACCCAGCAATTGCCGCAACAGCAGCAACCACTAAACAAGATGCCTAATACGCTGATTCACGGCATGACATGCCTGTGCCACGCTGGTCCAGCTCACGGAAGTGTCGCGCGCGACGACTACAAGTACAGTCCGGGGATAGGGGCACACAAGCTGCACACCCGAGCCGCGAGCTGGAACGAGGCCAGAAAAATGTGTAACGAAGAGGGTGGACACTTAGCAATTGTCAATTCTCTCAGTGAATCACACGTCAGTTCATAATACAGACAATCAATAACGACTTTGTTTTTTCCCAATTACATTTCAAATTGCGATGAACAAGGCATGATCTATTTTTTATATAGACAAGAATATGCTTGCCCAATAATAATTACTAATAATTTCGTATTGGCGTGACAAGTGAAGCGTGTTAATTATAATGCTTTCATTATTGCCAATCGGTGTATGCGTATACACTCACATTTTTCACCTAATTAGTTATATTTTATCCACGAGAATTTCAATCCAATAACGGATCACTGATTTATAAATGATAACCTGAATAATTATCGATATTCATCGTGAAAATTGTTTTCGTTTCGTTACTCCGAAAGAACATGCCTGACTACAGGCGTATAATTAAATTTACGTACGTTTGATCGAGTTCAAAAACTAATGTTTTCATCGTTCACAGGTATTGATGGATCTTTTCGCAAAAGCAGGCCCTACTAAAGGTGCCTCGTATGATGGACTCGCTTTCATTGGTATCCACGATCTTTACAAGGAAGGCGAATGGGTGACAATTCTTGGAGAGTCGCTTTACAAGACCGGCTACACTCAATGGTCGGACAAGTGGGGTGGTCAACCTGATAACGGTGCTGGAGTGCAAAATTGCGGGGTGTTTTTGCGAGAGGGTGGACTCGATGATGTCAATTGCGATGTGTCTTTCCCGTTTTTCTGCGAATTGCCTATGACTTATATCATTCATTGATCAACATGATTTTTCATAACATACTCTTTAGCTGTCTACTCGGTCGTTTGTTTTAATAACCAGTTCTATACAAATACATTTCATTTCCGATGTACAATAAAATTCAATGTAAAAATCTGTTTAAATAAATAATTATTTTTTCTTGAATCGTAAATAAATTCCATCGCGTCTAATCGTATAATAATTTGGTATAGAAGCTTGTGCCGATGTAGATGTAAATAAAAAAGTGCAAGTGCTTGCGCTTAGCATAGAGCTTTTAATATCGTATATGCTCATGTTTAAACATTTAATGGGTACTTTTTAAGCACAACGTACTTATTATTATAAATAGGTGTAGTCTTTTGAGAGAAATTTCTTTGAAAAATTCACTGTGCTTCATAGTACACAAATGCAACTGCCTCAGACATACAATTTTTTAATCGAAAGCATACACCGTAGATACAGAAAACATTACGAATAATGATTGATCGATAGGACAGTGACGTCAGCAAAATCTCCGAGAAAACGAACGAGGTGCACCCGGAACAGTGTGCTGCTGCAGCTCTCTCAACCTCACTAGTGGTGGGGACCGGGACCTTTCTGGACCTCTCCAAAATTGTTTTTGGCACCTTTCCAACGCCCTCTCTCCAGAGTAATGGGTCACCGTCCTCGCACATGTCCCAAAGACAGGAGCTTCCTCCTCCACCCACTTGTGCATATTCCCCTACCCTACACGCACACGAGTGCACCCGTGTGTTGCGGTAGTTTCTTGCCGTCGCGTAATGCTCATGATGCGCTCGTACAATTCGGCCCTATATTTCTTTCACTCATCGTCGAACGCATATTTTGATCCCGAGGTCGGAGAGGCTTCTTTGTGTCTTTTACGCATGCGCGCGTCTACCGGTTTTCCCATGCGCACTTTCCCCGATTTTACTTATTTTTTGTCACTCCGTGCACAAAGTGCGACATTTCCGCATGCTTGGCCAAAAGCGTACACTCAAAATTGAACCTCACAATACATTCTGGCAAAGGGTTTCTCGTATTGTGAATTCTCGACTCTGGCTCTGCTCGCACGTAAACGCCACACGAGACAACATATTGTATTGTACCATATTGTAACTTCCGCACTTGGGAATGCACAGCTTATCCGAACACAGTGAATTTATAGGATTTCCTTATTTGCTTACGCACATCTGTTAGGGACTCCAAATCTGACAATCATACTCGTATAAGCCGACATTACAGCTGAAATCTTACAATTGGAGTGCAATACATGGACTCCGCGTATGTGCATTTCTGGTTAGATGCACATGGTTGGAGTTCATTATTATTTAAGTTTTCTGTTCAAATCTATGTTTAAGGTGATTTTGCTCGCTTTGCGCAATTGGTTTACGATGTTTCGTTTTCATAAACAACCTGCGATTGAACTACCAATCTGAGGTTACGCGTCATCATTTCATGTCATCTTCACATTTAAATAAACTTATATTATAGTTTATAATCTGAGTTCTATTTTCAATTAACATAACAAACCAAATAGAAAAGTAGTTCCAGTAAAATGAAGGAGCAATAATTAGCGAACTATAAGTTTATACACCTTCGCTTCGTAATTACACATTCGTACTTAATCATTTGGAAATATTTCAGATACTTAAATTGTTCGATAATAATAATAATAATACGCATGGAAAGCAAAATACCAGCAGTTCAAGTTTTAGCTACTACTACTGGTGAAGAGATGATGTGCCAGTGTCACCTTACTTCTGTCTCCTATCCAAATTTCAAAGATCATACATTTTCCTCAGACAAATAAATTGTATCAATTTATAAATTGAATAACTATTAATCACAAGATATCGATGCGAATGGCAGAGACTAAAAAAATTGTAAAGACTAAAACAAATCAAATGACTTGAAAAGCTATTCGATATAAGTGTTGTGGGATATCAAATTTATAAATATTTTTTCCCTTGATTTTATCAAAGAAAATTTCATATGATAATTCTTCTATAAACAGATGTTTATTTACCCGTGAAAATAATAATCACGTGAATGATTCTTATAAAGAAATAACATAAAGAAACCTACCATACTTCGGAGAGACTGATGTCGATGAACTGTTCGGATACTTAATATTTGCTATTAAAAATAAAAATATTACGGTTCTAAGATTGGCTTTGGTCCGATTTCTAACCTATGCAGTAATAATGACGTAGGTAAATATCACTTCATATTTTTTTATAATCTTTCTTTTTCGATAAATAGAACAACACTTTCCTCATCGCGTCCCGATCTTCGACTTGGATTCATTGAAAAAATGAATTTCAATCTTTTAGTATAAAGCTACAGGATATTCCCCAGAGTAGTCAGCTATATTGTAAGTGGAGGTTGGAGAAACGCAATATAAGCAAAACGACATTGTCCTTCGCAGCTTGAGACGACCGATCGAAGTGCTACTACCTACTACCTCAAGCAAACCGGTATTGGAGGCTAGTGTACCTCGAAACTTGAAACAAGAATATCCTCTCTCGTGTTACTGTGTGAATTTTTTTTGTATTTCAAATTTGTGTGAAGAGTTGAAACTAGAGTTGGTGATAAGAGTCGTTTAGTACGTTGAAAAAACATTACAATATGTGTATAAAATTATAATACGATTTTCGAGTTTCTGCTGAGTGTTTTCTATTTCTGTGTACTTTACTTTTCTTTGCTCTGTATTTTTTGGACGATCTGGTGCTATCTAAATTAATATTGGCTGCAAATTAAAGTATAAAACTCAATAGATAATGGTTGGTGTCGAGGATTCAAATAACGCGCCATAAAAGCTATGATAAACTTTTCTGGTTTTAATTTCGATATAAATACGAAACATTGAAAAATGTTTTGCCAAAAAACTCCTGCTCAACAGTAAAATCAATAGCTGTCTAAAGTATTAGTCATTCCAAAAGTTTATAGCTTACGAATGTTATTCTAATTCTTAAGTAAACAAATCACTCTTTCCTCATCGATCGTCCAATAACTGAATCACTGATACAGTAAATTTCGGCGTAATTTATGTATCTGCCAAATTATCTTTTCAGTGCTAATCATCCGGCTTATTATGTATCTCCTAATCTTCATTGTATCGAGTACGATATCTACACTAGAAATAACTGCGGCGACTATATCACCAGCCAATGCACTCACTATTAATCTATGCAGTGCGAATCAAACAATAGTGACTCATGTATTCGCTGAGAACAGAGGCGAGTCGGGTACCAGTTGTACCTGCCAAGCGGTACCATCTCGTGAACCGGTTGTTCGCGAGGACTACGTGCACACTCCTGGAATTGGCTCGCACAAGATACATACTGATGCCAAAAATTGGAACGATGCCAGGAAGATTTGCAACGATGAGAATGCCCATCTGGCTATTATCAATTCTGCGGCTGAGGAGGCTGTGAGTATACTTCACATTTTTTGCATTTTTATCTCAAAATAATCGTTATTGCTCGTTCACTTGTTTGGTAACGTTATATTTTGCTCATGAATCAATTCTTTTCATTTCAGATCCTCGTCGACATGTTAAAAAAAGCTGAGAAAAAAATCAAATTAGGTTTAAACGTGGAACAAGCACTGCTTGGCATTCACGATTTGTACAAAGAAGGCGAATGGGTAACTTTGTTCGGGGAATCGCTTCTATCCACTGGATTTTCAAAGTGGAATCCAACTTACTGGGGTGGACAGCCGGATAACTTTGAAAATCGTCAGAATTGCGGCGCGATCATTAACATAGGTGGCATGGATGACGTCGACTGCCGTGATAAGTTTGCCTTTTTCTGCGAGATGCCTTTCCTGTGCTAGCTGCAACCATTTACTCATTTTACTTTATTTACTCATTTTACTATATTCCTATAAGTTGTAGTTGTCAAACAAAGTCAGATTTTGCAAAACAACACGTATCTATTATTTTTTTTTATCCTACAGATATACAAATGATTAATCTCAAGATGACATTATCCTATTGGCGGTGAATTCCGAAAAGAAAAGATGAGATGCTTACAGCCTTGCCATAGATATGCCACAAATACTTATTGCAGAAACCATTATTGTGTACGACTTGGTCTTGCTACTCAGAAGCAATTATCGCTCGAAGTTATCTCACTCACTCTCTCTCTCTCTCTCTCGCCCTCGTCTCACACTCGAGTCGCAACCGTAAAGCTTCGTATTTCTCGTGTCGTTCGAAGCATCATAGTTCACACGTATACGTGCTCTGCTCTCTTGCTGCCACTGATTAGATTAATGTCTCGAGCGTAGCGTGGAGGAGTTGGTGCAAACTCGATACATCCCGCGAGCGGTTATCAATATCGAGGCAAGCTGACCATCACGGATAACAAATCTCCTCGTTGCAGTGTCATCCGCTGTGGTCGACGACGACATGTCTTCGTACGTCTTCATAGCTTCACTCCTCTTGGCCAACATCCTCCGTGGTATCACGGCTGAAAATCAAATTACCATCGAAATGGGTGACGATGCAACGACGGATTTGCAGTCGTACCTCAGTGATTTACACGTTGCCGTGTCGTCGGTGCAATACACTGCCAATATGAGCGCGAAGATGTTGATTGATTTGACGGACAAGCTGAAACGCGACCAGGTGAAGTGTCGATGCGATAGGGAGGAGAAGCCAAGAAGTGTTGGTGGTAGCAGCTCGTCGATTTGGAGACTGGATTACAGGCGCACTTCGGCCGCTGCCGCGCACAAGCTGCACACTCGGCCGCTCAAGTGGAACGACGCAAGAAAGTCGTGCAAACGCGAGAATGCTGAACTTGCTACTGCCGAGAGCACAGACGAGGCAGAGGTATGTGTATACGAGTACAAACGAAAGGACGTTTGCAGACCGAGTTCAACTCTATTGTAGGCGGTTATAGCAACGATTCACAGTAAATTGCTCAGTCGACACATTATATTCTAGATACTGGCGAAAGTATTGGACGAAGCAAGAAGCTGGAGTCAGGAAGTCAATATGACGAAGTCAGCATTCACGGGCGTGCACAGTCAGTTTGAAGCGAACGACTGGGTGAGCGTGACCGGTAAACCAGTGCCAGCCTCGTGGTCAGTTCTATCGAACGGTTCACTCCACAGATGCGCTGTATTGACTGTTCATTCCAATTTAAACGCGACTGACTGCAATCAGCCTCGACCTTATTTGTGCGAAATACGATTGCTTCCGTAATTTATTGCGACATTTGTTCATAGATTGCCGAAGCAAGACGCATCGTACATTGAAATCAATTTGCGGAGTGATTGGCAGTGGAAGAATTACCACGTCCTGTTTTTACGAATGTAAAGTAGAATATTGTAAGGAGAAATAAAAAAATAATAGATTCGCGGAGCATTCTATCTGCGAAAAGAACTTGATACAATCCGAAAATACATTTGAAATGCTTATAACATCGATATGGAAATGCCGCAAGGAAAGGGAAAAGAAGAAGTTGCTCTCGCAATCCACTCGTAATAATATTCGACCCTCTAAATCGTCAAACGTCATGCTCAAGCCTGTCAGCCGAGCGAAATTCCATTTGGACACGATCACCCTCTTACGTACAGGCGAGAAATATTCAAGCGCGTTGCGAACGCTTTCGCGCAAAGTGTGCGACAGTCTCGACTACTGCTCTCGCGACCCCTCGTGTGCCGAATACTCGTACAGACATGTGCGCGTTATGCCAAGAGGGACTATGCAAATTTCAGCAAAAACCTCGACATTGGACAAGGGTGGAGGAAGACCAATTTAAATGCATCAGTATTCATCCGACGACGCGCGATGGCCTGTGCTGCCACTACTGCCGGACCTGTCAATACCATCTGTAATATTTGTCCGTCCGTCCGTCCGCGCGCAGGCTTCCTCGGCCAAATTGGAATATTTATGCTACGATTTCATGCGCAATGCGGAGAACAAGGAGCGACAAGTGCAAGACTGCCTCATGCGGAATTAGGCTTTGACTCGCTTTTTGCTTTCTCGTTTCCGTAAAACAGGATCGAGGCTCAACGTGTTCATATTTGAAAAAGACTGTTGATTTTTTTTTCACGTACTAAGACCATTAGTTTAAAAGACGAAATCGAAAAATACCGACTACAAGTCTTCCATAAAGCTGAAATCTCTTGCAATACCAAATACATGTTATTCAGTACCTATTCGTAGAACTGTTACGTTACTTTCGACACTTTTATCGCGTCATTTCAGAAATTTTTATTCATAAATTTTAAGTTTTTCCAAGCTTTTTTCGAACTTGTAATTGAAAGGAAGAATAACCATTTGTTCGTTCTTTCATAAATTAATAAATCGTGCATTCGTTCAAACTCACTTTATTTTTATTAAGCTGTATTTCGTTTATAGTCAGAAAAAAAAATTTTTTTAAGCAATACGCATTTATAAAATAAATTCGACTCTTATTTCGTTTATTAGAAAAATTATGAAAAAAATAATGATGATTAATTCACGATCTACATAATTTTAAACTAAAATAAACGCAAAGCTAATTTTATGGCACCATTAAAGATCTTGATGGCAGTAGAGCAGGCAGGATTCGCGACAGCGCAAACAAAGAACGAGATTGTTTTATGTGTAGCCGATAAGCCGAGCGCAATATACTTTCTCCGACTTACTCCGTCTCGGCGTGACCGAGCAACAGTCAGCATGCGTGCTACGATTTCAAACTGCATAATTATTTTTAGTTCTGATCTTTCAAGCAATAATAATGATAGTCTTATCCTTTTAATGACTAGTTGATTCACCAGAAACATTTATTTCAAGTCGCTATCTACGAATATAGGATTTTCCCGGATATTATCAGTTTTTATTACGAAGGGGCAGTGGCATTTTACTATAGACGTAGGGCAATATTATTCTTTAGGGCTTTCAAACGATCAGTCGGGTCGTTACGACGAGCAAACGACAGGATTCTCCTATTAAAGCATGGATTTTTTTCGGAATTGGAATTTTAGTCAGATACGAATCTGATCAATACATTGAGTTAGATGCTCGTCGTAAAAAATGTTTGGTAAGCAGACGAGTTGCTGGAATTTAAGATTTTTTATTAAAAGCGGTTTTTATAGTACTTAACTGAATAATTTTCACGTCATCAGCGCGTTAAAGCACAAGAAAGTCCGTTGTATAAATCTGCTGAAGTATTTTTCGCAATACACCGTGTATCTAATTTTCATTATTATATGACTGTGATGTTTGCGCTGGAAATGACTTCAGCGAAACCAGCAGCCAACGCACTCACCTTTCATCTATGCAATGGAAACCAAACAATCGACACGCAGATACTATTGATGGAAAGCAATGAATCAGGCAGCAGCTGTACGTGTCAAGTGGCACCAAAATGCGATCAGATGCTTCGCGATGACTACGTGCACACTCCTGGAATTGGCTTACACAAGACACATACTGATGCCAAAAAATGGAACGATGCCAGGAAGTTTTGCAACGATAAGAATGCGCATCTGACTATTATCAATTCCATAGCTGAGGAGGCTGTCAATTAATTAATTTTGCCTTTTTTTTTAATTTTACAATTAATTTTTATATATATCAATTATTTTTCAGATTTTCTTTGAAATGCTAAAGCAAGCCGAGAAGAAAATAAAACATGCCTTGATCACTGAAGAAGTTTATCTAGGTATTCGTAACTTGTTCATGGAAGACGAATGAATTACTTTGGACGGTGAATCACTCTACACGACATGATATTTCAACTCTAATACAACATATTAGGATGGGCAGCCAGATAATTTCAATCGGAATCGAAATTGTGGTGCAGTAATTAGAATGGGCAGCATTGATCATATCGATCACATGCTAGTTGCATTAACATTTCGTCTACATCATTGCCCTTCTATGTAAGTTACACTTATTAAGCAAATTTTCCAAAAGTCAATTTTGGAATTAAAATAAACCACGAAAATTAAAAAGTAAACTAATTATATTCGGGAAAGGAGAAATAAAATTCGAAATAGATTCACTCGACAAAGTTTTCCACTATTAAATTCAATGTTTAAAAGTCAAAAAATAAACTAGAAGAACAAAGTGTGAACGAGGAAAACGTAGCTGCGGCTGAAAAAATGTTGACAGAACAGAAGAAAAAGGAAATAAGGAAAAAAAAAGGGACGCAGACGTATAAGCTCTGGTGGCAGAGTCTATGTGATTTACTACAGCCAGATTGGTCTGGGAGAGTAAAATTGAAATTATGAATATTTAAGAAGCTCATTGTTCCCAGAGAAGAGCACTGACGGCGAAAAAAATACGCGGTACAGTTTGGAGATCTCGTGAACTTTTCTGTGAAATGAGTTGCGAGAGAAAAAAAAGATTGTATTTTCGCCTGAAAATTTTTGTAGGAGCTTGTTTGAGTTGTCAACCATTACCTTTTACAGCAGCGATTGAAATTTGCATTTTCCATTTTTGTGAATAATAAATCTGCCTGGACACAGATGCTAATATAAAAAAAGAAAGTGACGGAATAATTTACGTTCGTGGAAAGGGAGGCTTGAAATTATTCAATCGATCAGTCGCCAGATTAAACTCGCACGCGAGATACGAGCAGCCACAGTACAAATCGCATTATAATCCAGTGAATAATTTCAACAATTTAACATTGAAATAGCAGACGCCAGACGAGAAGCGAACAGCAAAGGTGTAATTGCTCGTGGTGAACTTTTGTCCACGCTCACGTGCGCAATATGAAAAGTTGGATAGTCACTCGTAAGTTTTCCTTTTCTCCCTCATGAATATCTCTCTGTTTTGTCTGAATTTACATTTTAAATTCTGCCGAGATATCAAAACGTCGCCCGAGCTTAGTTCGCTTGTAATTTGGAATTTGGGATCCAGCGCCACCTCAACGCTCTGAATTTTAAACTTGTACCCAGGCCAAGCGATTAGTGCGATTCGAGGTTTCTTTCTCTCTCTCTCTCTCTCTCTCTCTCTCTCTCTCTCTCTCTCTCTCTCTCTCTCTCTCTCTCTCTGTCAGATTAACGTCATTAAAGACATGCAATATACTCTCTCTCTTTCTCTGTAGCGATGAAATGCAGCGTTTGATACATACAAATTTCATAGATTACGTTTTCTTTACTGGATAAGAAATAAAAATTTCAAAATTAAATTCAGCTTTCATTTAAATGAAAATTTTCTAATTAAAGTCATATAAAAAAAATGCAAAACTAAAACCACTACCTATTTCAATTCTGCCCTTCACGACTTTTATCTTTACGTCCTCCTATTACAGTCTACAATCGTAACACAACAAGTCAATAAATTCGATATAGCATAGTTTCACTGGCCTAACCAGCCAATGAAACTGTGAATTGGATCATCTCTCTCTCTCTCTCTCTCTCTCTCTCTCTCTCTACATGCCATCATCATTGTTAGACGTGCAGGTAGAGCTTAGTATACGTTTCGCTCGTTCAGGCAATATCAGCATCGACATGCAATTTCACCGATGATGAAGACGCTTGACACGACTGTAACAAATGTGCTTTGATTACACTGCATGGGCAATTGTGTGTATCAACGACATCTATTAACTGATGACTCTTGGTCTCATACAAAGTTTACGGTGTATAGGATTATAGTCGAGGGATATACATCTTTTAGAAATTCAAAATTTGTTATGTGATCGAAACATTATTGATTATTACGTAGGAAGTCGTTGTCGATATTCATAGTTGAGTTTGAGTTACTAAAGTGATGTTGATTTTGACGCAAGGCAAAAGATGCTATAATTGATATAAAGTAAAAAAAGTGTGATAAATATGCTGTGCAGAGCTCAATTTTTGCAATATAATATCTACAAAAAACCAAAGCATGCAAGGTCTCGCGTCATTCACCAGCCGACAGAAGAAATCATATGCAACAACGGCATCCCACCTTTCTCGCTACTACACATATATATTCAAATCTGATATAGAAACGGTGGCATTGTATCAAAACGATTTTCCCGGCGGCAACTCGCTTAAAATGCAAATGCTAGCGCGGCGGCAAGAGGAGCGAAAGCGCTCCTTGCTGCTACAGTAGCGCGCGCGAAAAATCAAATGGACTTTGATCGCGCTTGCGCCATTCTCAAGAGAACCATTGAATTTTACCTGGATCCCGTACGAAAATCTTCGTCTGTAATCCTTCATATTATTTTCGATCTAATATTGGCACGTACGATTTTGATTTTGCAAGAGATAACTTGAAATAATGGACTGACTAAAACTACTCTTATTATTGATTTACTCTTGGCTAAGTTCTCTGCGAGTAAGAGAAAAGCCGAAAACTTTAGGAATTCCGTTAACGTTTGTGTGGGCAATTCAGCGCTCTGCAATTGAGAAGGGTCCGCGGCGCGACTACTACTTTTGCGGACACGAGGCGTCTTGGGAACGTCTCGCGCGTTTGCGCTTCGTGGATCTTTATTCGATTTCTCCTAAAAGTGGCCGAGCCCAGCGTTTGATGAGGATTTAACGCAGAGGTCATTTCGTTTGTCTTGCTTTGAAGCCAACTCACGCGGGAGAAACGATTTGATGATCACACGTTATACTCGTATTGTGGCTGAAACTAGAGAATAAAGTTTTTTTCATATATTTTCTTGTCAGAAATCCTAGGTTACGTGGCGATTTCCGAAAGTTTCATTCGTAAAACCACGATTTTAAGGAATACTAACTTTAATATTTATAAAACATCCTTCGTTCTCTTCCAATTAAATATTCGATAAGTACATGAGCTTTCAATGTCGTCTCGTTAGCTTCTTATAACTGCATTATTTTTTCCAAAATAATGAGGTTTCAGTCAACTACAAGTTCTCGCGAGTTGCGCTGCAATCTCCTGCACACGACGCTAAAATCTAATCATCCAGCGTGCTAATTAATATCCGAGCTCGATCGAGCGCGAGATACCGCAATTTCCTCGTCGACGTTTCGCAAGAGAGGATAAGCTGTCACTCATACCACTGTACCGCTAATCGAAAAGAAAACGCCAAGATGTTTAGTCGCAGATTAGTATCTAAATATTGAACTCGCTGTGTGGCGAATCTAAATGAAACGTCGATGCAGTCTAATTTTTCGACTCCCCCGTGTATCTTTCCCATGGTAGGTCCGAATTTTTTTTGAATTTTTTTTCTTTCGAACAAAGGGAGGATGGTCACGATCAAAGTTGAGTGGAGCTCGTTATAGTCGTCCAATGGGAATAATTAAAGTAATTGTGTGCTGACTCTGCCTTTATCGCAACTCCTGCGAAATTGAACGGACGCACTTTCTGCAATGTGTAAGACATCGAATTTTCAACGAGAGAAAAGTAAATATAGGAGAGGGAGAGAGGGGAGAAGTCAAATTCTTAAAATTCAATTGGCAATATGGAATTGAAAAGTAAATTTGAAAGACTAATACCCCTGTCAGACGCTACAAGCTTGACGTCGCAAAGAACGTTCGCTTCTCTTTTCATTTTTCTTCTCTGTACCTAAGATTTTTTTCGTTACACTAACTTTGAAGAAAAAAATTCATCCTTAGGTATCTTGAAACACTGGAATTACGAAATTCAACGAGCGAAGTACTTTTTTTCTCATTGAAAAGGCCAGACCACAAAAAAGCAATTTAATAGCATTTGAAATTGAAATTGAATGATCCAATGTTTGTTCGCATCGGCAAGTCCGAAAATAAAAGATGACTGACTGAAAAAATTTAATTAAAGTATTGAACTGCTTTTCATTCTTCTTTTGCGACCTAGATGTTTAATTATATTAAGCGATCAGGCGAATGCAACTCTCATTTCAAACGAATAAACCGCTGAAAGTTTTTTTCAAACTCGAGATAATCAACTCCGGGGTGAACAGGAGGGACCGAAGTCAAGCGAACAGAGGGAGTAACTGATGCATTAAACGCTCGATTGAGCATTTAATGCATCGCTAATGAGCAGCGCGTCTAGACTGCAATTGGAGTAAAGGTTTGCCAATGTCAAAAGCACGAACCAAATTGTCGAAAGTTTTTCGGTGTATCTAGGTCAGTTGGCTTATTCAGAGAATCGACGACCGTTTTTTCAATGGCACTTTAATGTATTCGTGTGAGGGCAGCAAAGAATCAAGTTAAATCGTCGGAGTCTTAATTACATTTTATCGAAAGTTTGGTGGAGCTCAAGAGTTTGCTCAACTAACTTTCTCGCCATTTCGCGCGCCATCCAAGAAAGCTTTATTGCATATTGCACTCGACGTTATTGAATTTAATAAAAGAATGGCTTTTGGCCAGTGATTTCGTAATTGCTGGATGATTTATGGTTACTTCGAAGTTCAAGTAATTTCCTATTGCTGTGTACCTGAGAAATTTGATAAAAATTGAGAAAAGCAAGTCAAAAATGGAATAAAACTTTGGTATTTCCCGGTAAGCATAAAACTTCCATTTTCGTACCTAAACCAAACCAAGTTTTTTCAAACAAACTGAAGATTGGATTACAAAACGATCGTTTAAACTGATTTTTACATATTTATGCCCTGTATAATCTGAAAATCGAACAGATCGTCGTAATTTTCAGTAAAATACAAACGAACAATATATCTCAGACTCTAATTAAGCGATTAATCACCATTTACTCCGACACTTCCAGCATTAATTCTTCATTAATCTTCGTCAACTGCTCATCGTCGTCGCTGTAGTTCGGCAATCTTTTTTCAAACTGTTAATTGCGTCACAGAAATTACTCACCTTGTAACGAGGGGAGGAGAAATCACCAGTTGCTACGCAGCTCGCCACTAGTAACGCCAAGACGACGATTACGCTCCGGACGGTGACACCGCTAGACGACATCTGCAAACAAATTTCGAGGCTGGTTAAAACTTTCATGCATTTTAGTGCAGCAACTAATGTGCCTAGTAAAATTTTCAATTTTTAAGGATTTTCTTGTGGATGCGGGAAGATCGAGAGTCGAGGAAGAAGTATTATCAAATGATATTTTCAGAAACAAAAGATTGTAAACGATGGAGTTTTATTAAAACTCGTTCATTTTCCAACTACTTCAAACTATTTTTATCAGGAAGTAATCAATGATCTTATTATTTTACTTGTTGTCGATTCATTTACAATATCCGAATAACTTATAACTATTAGTGTTATGAATTATTTGAATCACATATAAACTAAACTAAAAATGAATTAAAACAACTTGCATACTTGAATAATGAAGAGATAATCAAATCTACATGTAATACAAAAAAATTGGGTAATTTAATATTAGGAAATTTAACCTTACTGCTCGGACTCACTCACTGCAAATTGAATTCAATTAGTCTTTCAACGATTCTTTCCACAAGTTCAAGAATGATCCCATTGTAAAAGAAAACTTATGTGTACAGACGATACGACCAGATTAAATATTAATTAGCGATTTCCAAGCTCGTCGGCGGCCTAAATATTCCAACAGAACGTGTCAGCAGTCGCGGCGCACGCACGCCGAGACATATTTCGAATTCCAGGTAGCGCTATATTCCTACGACTGCACTCCCGCGCGGAATGTAAAATCAGTCGCGTGCGTGCACACACACACACAGATACTGCTCCTGCCGCTAATTTTCAAATTCCACATTAACATTCCCTAAGTTGAGAATTACGTAGGGACTCGTGCTAGCGCGCAAGTTTTGCCGAAGTAATTCAATAACCCTCGTAGGCGAGCTATTACTTTAGCTCCTTGCTCGCTGCTGTTGCCTGCTAGGGGTCTAGTACGATTTGGTTTTTACCTCGTGGGTTCGTATATAAGCCAACGTATTTTCGAGGTCGTTTTGTCGTTCGAGTTAATTTTCACGGCTGTCTGAGCGAATCGCACGTGAAATATAACTTTAGTGCTTCTATTTGTTGACTACCTCGAGGTTCACGTTTATTTGCAAGAAGCTTTGAAGAAACGATTAATCTTCGTGTTTAGATTTCGAGCTTTGTTCTTTCAATTTCCGACAATAGCGATTATAAACTGCAGTAGCGAAACCATTGTATTTACATGGGAAATTGTTAGCATCTCAAGACATGGAAAACAATGAGATTGAGCGAAAATCATAGTCGTCGATATTATATTCACCAATAGGTTCTCATTTCCGCCTACTATTGGTCTTCTGTGAAACGTCAACGTAGCTACGTTCAAATCCTCTAATCCGCATAATCGAGCGCGTTCGATCTCACCGTCGCTGTCGCATGGTGCTTCGTTGCCGAATTAATTCGCCGCATAAGCGCTCGAGCGACTCCGATAAGCCTTGATAATATCAAGTAAATGCTGCACTGGTTAAATACCAAATGGCAAATTTGCTCGTTATTTTGCGTAATTTTTCACACAAGCGCCGCAATATTCTTAAATTACCGCACCGGATTTGCGCGTACGCTACAATTTATCGAGGACAATAAACAGAATTAATGCATTGTAATAGGACGCAAAGAGAAGAAGAACGCAAGATAACTGGCTACGCGTAGAAAAAACTTCATCCGTTTATCCTCCACGAAAAAGCTTATGTCGACAAGAAAAGAAAAGAAAACATTACGTACATCTTAAATAGCACTTAATACTGGTCGAAAGATTAGGTAGGAAGACAAAAGACAAGTCCAGCGAGAGTCGAATCGTATTAAGAATCCAATCGGTGAAAAGTCTAGCTACACCTATACTTAGCCAAGCAGTCTTTCGGGACTGACGTTCTTCATCTTCTCGCCAATTATATGTAGAAATTCCGTTGGAGATTATTGTTGACTCACAGTCGCGCTCAAACATTCCATCAAGAAAAACCAATATAAGCACTTTCACCTCATTCGTATCCTTGATAAATTGTCCAAGCACATGAATAGAAACTCAATCGATCGAAGCTAACATTATTTTGAAAAATAACCTACAATGCCCGGACGGCTCGTCAATTTCTATGGATTTTCAGCGCTAAAAATCGATTTTTTTTTTCACTTTTATATCCATTCTCATCAGGTAAACACAGGTAAATGATTGTTGAATATTGTCACTTGATAAGGTCCCACTTCATGATTTATTCATTGCAGGAAGGACTTGTCTCAAGAACTTATAAAAGCATATTCAATCGAAGAGGTTATCGGGCAATCGTGACATACGAGACACGGTGCACAATATAAAAAAAATTATGTGCAGCGTAAAGAGATTAGTGTTGAGCTATTCACTTTCACTCTTTCTTTTCGTTGGTTCATATTTTTTCTTCGTATCTTTTTATAATATTTCTTGGTCACTATGGATTACATAATTACGCCATTGGCCGTAAGACTATCTTTACACTGACTAATCACAAATAAAAACTTGCTTGAAAATAATTTTCATAGCTCACATTTTTTCAGACTTGCATCTGATTAACCAATAAACGCGCTTCTGAAGCCGTGTAATTTAGCAGCGCGTACAATTTAGTGGGAGCTGCGACAAGTCATCTCTAAGCGGCATCTCTAAGGGGCGTTTCTGACTCTTCCGCTCTCGGAATTCTCGCAACACCGCTTGCGAGCCTCGAACTTTTTGCGTGTATACAGTGTGCCTGTATGTAGTACGCCTCGTTCTTGTGAAAAGTATTTCCAACGGTTTATGGCTTAAGGCTCTTATTATATTGAAATTGTTGTGTATTGTTGGACTAGCATGTTTATTGGACGCGTATGCATGTGTATTTTCGTTTATTTGTTTTTTCTTTACCTCCGAGGAAAAATATCGAGCTCTCGCAAGCAGATGTAATTGAGTGCAGTATGCGAGAGAGTACGTCACGTTTGAAAATTTGATTTTTCACGTCGTCTGTCGAGATGACGTGTTAGCGAGGTATAGGCAAATACAGAGCGCCCTTTTCAAGAAACGTCGAAACGAAGATGAAAACTTGGAATCGGGTTTCGCTTTTGATTTATTGATAATTGAATAAAGTTGTCGGCACAAGTGAAATTCTATTCATTATTGTCTTGCAGTTGTTAATAAGTAACAGTAAGCCGTGATAGGTAGCCCCTGTTAGTAGCAATATCGGTAGGCTCGCTGAGATATGCATGAGCAAACCACGTGCTCAGGTTCTTCTTTCATCCATATGATATAATAAATTGAGTCGCCAACAGCGTTCACATTCTATCAAGTAGTCTCCTTAATCCGTGGCTTTTTCAGTGCACCAATTGCCTCTGGAAGATAAACAAGGAAATATTCAAGGCCCTGCGTGCAGCTTCGATAGTACACTGGAAACACGATAGAGGCAGCGCTCTTACGCTGTCGGTAAATCTTGAACTCGATCTTGAAGCAGCGCTGTGCCGCAGACAGTTTGCTCGTCTTGTATTTACAATGGTTTATCCTCGACGCCACTGTTGCCTTTGCCATTCTGATTTGCTTCACGTCCGAATAAAGATTTCGGCTATCGCTATAGACAGATATTCTTAGCGTTTGTTTACCAAAGTGACTTCGAAGCCTACAAGAGAGAGCGAATGTGCTTTTCCAAGTTTGTCCAGTCTGAACATTTCATTGTTTAATATATAGTTTAATGCTATCTTGCTGCTGGCTGCTATGCGAATATAAATTTGCTAATATCATGAAAACTTTTAATGGCCAACAATGAACTTTGAATGGATCAATGATGACGTTATTTCATAAACATGTTCTGATAAACGCACACAAAGCGAACGAGCTTTTCGTCCAAGAATTCATCTAGAATGCAGATTCGATGATTGCTCTCTTTTATTATTCAATTCATTACGCATGCACGTACGCACGTATGTGTGTCTGCCTATCTTATTAGTTAGTCGAAGCTGGTTAGTCGAAGTCGATCGGTGGAGGCAGTGCGAAAAGAAAATAACTTTTGACATTTCGTTAACCAATTTGTTAACGAATCGGTTAACGGAGCGTCAAAAATTATTTTCTTTGCGCAATCGCTTCCACTGATCCAACACAGCTTCAACTAAGATAAAACTATGAGAGACGTGAACAGTGATCAAAGATATTTTAATAACGTCAGACTTGTTTTAATTACGCCAGTCGACTGGATCAAAATCTGCACTTACGTGAAGAAGGAAATTTTTATCGCGTGCAAACATTTTCAATTTCATCAGCATCCCAGCTAAATGCAATAAAAAATTCATATTCGCTATGGGTGATAACAAGCTACTCTCGGGGAGGGTATGAAAAAAAGTTAGGTTGTTTTTCTCATCTAAAAATGTATGCACAGGTTACGTTCGTATACGCGTAGGTTGTCGATGACCTCGTTGTCGTTGAGTATCAAGTCTCTGCGTGTGGGTATGTGCGTGTGTGTATTACTGTAGCACTTGTTCTTCCTCGCAAAATTTGGAGTTTGTGGGTTTAATACTCCGAAGCAGATCATAAACTTTCCAAACATATATAATATAATACACGGGCCGTGCAATTCCAGCCATGAAAATCACATAATAGGTCGTTGCGCTTACATCGTCACGTATAAAAATTGGATTGCTCGCACTGTACTAGTATTCCAAAATAAAAGCCAAACGAGTGTAGTACGTGAAGTTTTTTTGTTCCACGGGAAGTTAGTGTTTTTCCTCTCCGGACGTGCAGCAGCTAGTTAAGTACACGGCCGATGGCTTTTCGAACGTTAATAAAGAGAAAGACAGTTTATTTGGATAATACTACGCGCTAGTTTGAATTGACCTTACTGAGTATGTTTAAAAGCGTTTCATTGGTAAAGAATCGACGTGGTTGCTTATCTTTATCTTTTTCTCTGCCCAATTTGTTAATATTTGAATATGACCTAGCTGAGTATGAGAAAAAAAGAATTTGAGCAAAGATGCATCTGTTACCGAGACTGTCTGCGCAACTGTTTGTAATGAAAGCACAGGCATAC